TTCCCAGGCACAAGAGTAGGACCCCACCTGCCTACAAACAAAATCCACATTCTCAGCCAAGTGTGGTGGCTCACACCCATCATTTCGGGTGTGATCCCGTCCCATCATTTTGGGAGGTCAAAGTGGGAGGACTGCTTGAGCCCAGGAGTTTGAGACCAGCCTGGGCAACATAGTGAGACCTCATTTCTACAAAAATAAAAAATAAAACTTAGCTGGACATGATGGTGCAGGCCTATAGTCCCAGCTACTCAGGAAGCTGAGGTGGGAGGATCACTTGAGCCCAGGAGGTCAAGGCAGCAGTGACCCCTGATCATGCCAATGCACTCTAGCCTGGATAACAGAGCGAGACCCTGTCTCAAAAAAAAAAAAGATCCACATTCTCCAATATAAGCTTTGTCAGCACCAACAGTGATATTTTCAGCTCCATTTTCCTTTCCTCTTTTGTCCTATATTTCAATCAGTTCAGAACTCAGGGGGAAAGAGGGGCTCTATTTAAGGGCCCTTTTGAATTTTGAACAGCAAGTAAGTTGGTAGAAGCCCAGATTCTTGTTAACTGCCAGATATAAAAACCAGTATCAAGTGTACCAAACTTTATAGACACCAACGGCTTTGTGGCAGGGCCCAGCCAAGCTCCTTTACAGTATGTAATTAGCAGTAACACTCAAGCTCAACAGAGCACCTGACGGCCAGCTGATCTGAAACCTCTCCGTGAAGGAGGCTGATCTGTGCCACGTATTTATCTTGAAATTGATGGTCTTCTGTTGGGCCCTAGAGTAGAATTTATCCCCTTAAAAACTTATTAAAAAAGCAAGCAATCTTCTCCTTCCAAATACTAAATCCTATCAGTCCAGTCACTGGACGTTGCATCTAAACTGTTTCTTAATTTCCTTCTTCACACATTGTAAATCTGAACTCGAGACAGATATCATAAATCAACTTTATATACGCATGCATAGTCAACAACAATATTCTGTTATATTTTGACAGTGACCCCGCCATCCGCTTTTCATCATTTTGTTAGAGAAATCGGCTAGAATTTTTGCAGCTTTTATTGTGTGTTCCTAAGTCAATGATTCAGTAGAAGGAGAATGGTATCACTAAGCTAAACATAACTCATCCTCCCTTCCCTGGTTTCCAGTGGTTACACAGAGTCTGTATTTTGCTGCTAATGTGACAGTCAGGGGTGGTGGGACTGTCTCCTGACAGATGGCATTGATAACTTCTTGTGGGATAACCAGTTATGTCGTACCCCTGCTCCCTTTTAAACCGTGCTTAATAACATGTCATCAGTTTTTTCTTTCTTTTAAGACAGGTTCTCACTCTGTCACCCAGGCTGGAGTGCAGTGGTGCGATCTCCTCTTGCTGCAGCCTCCACTCCTGGGCTCAAGTGATCCTCCCACTTCAGCCTCCTGAGTAGCTGGGGTTACAGCCGTACACCACCAAGCCCAGCTCATTTTTTTCTTTTTTTGAGACGGAGTCTTGCTCTGTTGCCCAGGCTGGAGTGCAGTGGAATGATCTCAGCTCACTGCAAGCTCCGCCTCCCAGGTTCACACCATTCTCCTGCCTCAGCCTCCCAAGTAACTGGGACTACAGGCACCTGCCACTACGCCTGGCTAATTTTTTTGTATTTTTAGTAGAGACGGGTTTCACTGTGTTAGCCAGGATGGTCTCAATCTCCTGACCTTGTGATCCGCCTGCCTCGGCCTCCCAAAGTGCTGGGATTATAGGCGTGAGCCACCACGTCTAGTCTAATTTTTGTATTTTTTGTAGAGATGGGTTTTCACCATATTACCCAGACTGGCCTCGAACTCCTGGGCTCAAGCAATCTGCCTGCCTTGGACTCCCAGTGTTGGGATTACAGGTGTGCACCACTGTGTCCAACCAACATCAGTTTTAAATAAACTGGATACATCACTTCTTCTATAGAAGATGGGAATATAAGGATGGCTTGTATATATAAGATACAATGGCTGGGCGTGGTGGCTCACGCCTGTAATCCCAGCACTTTGGGAGGCTGAGACGGGCAGATCACGAGGTCAGGAGATCGAGACCACCCGGTGAAACCCCGTCTCTACTAAAAATACAAAAAAATTAGCCAGGCATGGTGGCAGACACCTGTAGTCCCAGCTACTCGGGAGGCTGAGGCAGAAGAATGATGTGAACCCGGAAGGCGGAGCTTGCAGCGAGCTGAGATTGTGCCACTGTACTCCAGCCTGGGTGACATTGCAAGACTCCGTCTCAAAAAAAAAAAAAAGATATAATCGGATTTTATAAACTGAACCTAGAAAACACTAAATCTTTGATGAATTAACAAATAAATGGGAAGGAGCAAGAAAGGAGTGCTCCTAGCAGACACAGATCCTGCCGTGCTAATTGCTATGAGAAAGCCACAATTTTCAGTAAACGCACTCTGCGTCCTAACTGTCCGAATGTTAACTGGACAGTGGACAGAGGGTCAGCCATATTCTCGGGGATGTGGCTTAAAGTCCTTCTTCTGGAGGGCTCATGAGGAAGTTACTTTTTTAAGACTTGCATATCCAATGGTGACTTTACTGACCTTTAAAAAATGGCTGATTCTCTAAGATTTCGGCATGCTAAAATCACTGCGGCCATGTCCCAAAGACTCCACTTCTACCATCTGTCTGTCCACGTGTGTGGAACAGCTGACAGAGCCAGCCATTCTGAGATATTTCTGTTAGGCTGGGAGGAAGTGGTCAAGGCCGCCTGCTCTTCAGCACATGACTACGTGCTTTCTATGAAGAGCCATAGAAACTGCTGACTCAAGAGACTATCCCGGGGTCTTAGCACCAGGAATAACTGTGTGAAGCAGTTGTCTGACCATCCAGTTTAAAAAAAAAAAAAAGCATTTAAACTTGTTTTTAAATTATATAGTAATACACCTACTTGGAAGAAGTCTGAAGGGTAGAAAACTTTAGCAGCACTGAAATGGTCTATTTCGGGCCACATGTGGCGGACTTGTGGGTGTTTGTTTTATTGTCATGGTTCCTAGCCTGCATATGCAGCACATATGTTGTTTTGGATACAGGAAATGTTACATAATAAAAGTTATGTAACTGCCCTCTCCTGCTTTATAAGCACTGGGAATCATATAACTGCTCGTGTTTCCCTCTTTGCACAGACTGCTAGAAAGCTCAGAGCCTAATCTGCAGCCCACCTTTCCGGAGGAACAACTTGCAGCACACATTTTTTGTACCAGTGTTAGCCCTTGCTTACTTTCATTTTTCCCACCCTTATTTTCCCTTAACCACAATTTCTTTACTTATTTTTATTTTCTACATTCTCGTTTCTCATATTTATGTTTTCTCATATTATAATAAACTTCTTCAAATCTACTTGAGAATTAGGTAGGGTATAAATTTTCTTTAAAATACTAAAAAAAAGGCTTCTGTTTATTAAGACTCTAGTATTATATTAACGTGCAAACCCTTATTTAAAAGCTGTGGCTCTGACCCACAGGGGTGCCTCAGGATCACACAGGAGCCTCATTCCAAATCTATGCAGCCAGACTCCATCTCAAAAAAAAAAAAATCTATACAGCTGACTTCATAGGGCTTCACTCACCCAGCCTGCGAATGCGGCAGCAGGTGGGTGTGAGCTCCTGGCCCGTGGGTTCCTGTACTTTGAAGAGTTTGAGAGACACTGGTGTCTCCCCTGGTTAAGAATGCCTGCCTCAAAACCATGGGCCTCCAGGTACGCTAGCCTAAGGAGGACACACGATCACTGAGGTCACATTTGGCCTAGGTGATTCAGGGAACTTGACTCTAATTACAAGGACACATCAAACACAAAAGGAAAAATGTTCTATTTTTTTTTTTTTTCTTTTGAGATGAAGCCTCATTCTTGTCCCCCATGCTGGAGTGCAATGGCACAATCTCGGCTCACTGCAACCTCTGCCTCCCAGGTTCAAGCGATTCTCCTGCCTCAGCCTCCCGAGTAGCTGGGACTACAGGCACCCGCCACCACGCTCAGCTAATTTTTGTATTTTTAGTAGAGATGGGACTTCACCATGTTGGCCAGGCTGGTCTTGAACTACTGACCTCAAGTGATCCACACCCCCCTGGCCTCCCAAAGTGCTGGAATTACAGGCGTGAGCCACCGCACCCAGTGAAATGTTCTATTTTTTTTAAAGGGGGAAAATTATACTCTTCTAATATGTTAATGTTATGTAACTCAAAGAAAGGCTGAGGAAATGTTCGAGATTAGAAGAGGCTAGGAGCTGTGCCAACTCAATGTGACAATTGACCCTAGATGACCAGAGGACGGGAAATGCAATGAAGGACATTGTTGACTCAACTACCAAAATTGGAAAATGGACAACAGATAAGAAGGCTGTATCAATGTTAAATTTACTGAAGTTGGTAACTGCATAGTTATATGAGAGAATATTCCTAACCTTAAGAAATACACACTGAAGTATTTAGGAGTAAAGAGTCATAATATATACAATTTATCTTCAAATAGTTCAGAAAACAGATTGTGTGCCTATGTGTGCATATTCACGTATGTGTAGAGACACAACAAAGGAAGGGGCCAAAGCTAACAGTTGGTGAATCTGGGTAAAGGGTATACCAGTGTCCTTTGTGCTACTTTTGTAATTTTGTAATTATTCCAAGTAAAAAGTTAGGGGGGAAAAAGTGCCCTTGCTTTAGACCACACAACTTCCACCACAGCAGTGCTTTTAAAAAAGGAGAATAAAGTTTCCATCCATTCCTACTGATCCCCAACCCTGGGAGCCCCCACTGAGTGGCTGCAACTGGTAGCAGAACATGCCTCTCTCCTCACTCTCCCTAGGAGGCCAGCTTTCAGCTGTACCTTCTTCTAAAACAGACTTAGTTTCCTTCTAGAAGTTTCTAGACTTCCAAAGGCAGCTTAAATGCAGTCTTTGGCATGTTATTTTCTCATGCTATTTTTAAAGTTACATTCTTTTTAAACTGGGGGGGATAGACCACAGGCACCCTGCCCTGAGCGCAGAGCCTCACCGTCCCAGGCCTCGTGAAGTCCACACTGTGCGCCAGGCTCTGCCGCATCTGGTTACTGAACAGGCGGACACAGACGCTCTGGAGGTACTCAGGGGTGATCTGCAAGGAGGACACAAAGACATCTGGTGACGGCATGAAATTCACCGAGGGACACCTGAGGCACGCTGGCAATTATTAGAGTGGTCTCTCAACAGCTTTCTGTAAGGCACGATGATGAGATATATAAGCTAGAAAAATACTGTAAGGCACGATGATGAGATATATAAGCTAGAAAAATAATCATTTGCTTTAACATCAGAGCTCCTGGGAGGAGAGAAAGCACCGGCCCTGACAGAACAAGGTGCTAACACACTGCAGGTGTGCTCATGAGACATCAGACGCAAATTATCTAACTCCACTTCAGCTACCTCCACTGTCATATAGAATAAACAGATCCTAAACCATTTTGGTAAATTACAAATAAATAACAAAGTCACTGGACAACCATAATGTGGGGGAAAGAGAGCCAAGCTTCATATCTGAAGATCAGGGCTCAAGTCCTGGACTCGAGAAGACCAACAGCTCTGCCTCTCGCTTTCCACACCTTTATTGTAACAGTCGCAGTGAGCAGCTAAATGAGGTCACAGATATCCCTGGCACATGACAGGTGGCTCAGCCAGTGCTTGCTGAATGAGTGATGGAAACACTTTTAATCAACTATCCAGTGCTTGACCATGTGCGGCCAAGCTGCTGTTGCCATCAATGCTGCTGGATCCTGCATTCTCCTTTAGCATCTCTTGAGCCTCTCTCACCAGCTACGAGAATTCAGGATTGACCTACAACATCGAAAGTGCTCACCTTGGAATTTTTTTCATCTATTTTCTTTTTAGAAAAATAATGTATGCTCATTTCAACGTACAAGTACCACAACCTCTCCTGAATCCCACCCTTCCCCCACAAACCAATCCCTGCAGATAACGACTTCCACACTTTTTTTTAGGCATGATAATTGGAAAAGAGCCTCCTCTTCCGCATCTTCGTGATTGCACCAGGGGAAACTTCCACATGGCAGTAGAAGCGGCTGCTTTCCCACCCCTTGCTCATACCCTTGCATGGGAGGAAGGCCATCCCCCTGGCCTGCATGGGAAGCAGGGCTACTCCACCCCTGCGGAGCTGGAAAGGGCTGGGCCCTTTTCTCTCCTCCTGCCTATCTGCTAGAAACTTCTGGTCTGCTTCAGCCACATAAAAGGCTCTGTCTAGCCGGGCGCGGTGGCTCATGCCTGTAATCCCAGCACTTTGGGAGGCCGAGACGGGCAGATCACGAGATCAGGAGATTGAGACCATAGTGAAACCCCGGGTGCCTGTAGTCCCAGTTACTCGGGAGGCTGAGACAGGAGAATGGCGTGAACCTGGGAGGCGGAGCTTGCAGTGAGCCGAGATCGCGCCACTGCACTCCAGACTGGGCGACAGAGCCAGACTCCGTCTCAAAAAAAAGAAAAAAAAAAAAAAAGGCTCTGTCCATCCTTCGGCAGAGGTCTGTCATCCCTTGTTGCACAGCTACATTTGAAGTGACTCAGAGAAAAAGGGACCGCATCCCAGGCTAGATCTCCTACATTATCCTGAGTCCATTCCTTCTGAATTCCTATAGTAAATTTCTGTAGTATTAAAATTTAAACATTCATTTTTCAGGCCTGGCGTAGTGGCTCATGCCTGTAATTCCAGCACTTTGTGAGGCTCAGGCAGGCGGATCATTTGAGCTCAGGAGCTTGAGACCTGCCTGGGTAACGTAGTGAAATACCACCTCTAAAAAAAATAAAATAAAAATTAGCCAGGCATGGTGGTATACACCTGTAGTCCCAGCTACTCAGAAGGCCGAGGTGAGAGGATGACTTGAGCCTGGGAGTTCAAGACTGCAGTGAGCTGTGATTGTACCACTGCACTCCAGCCTGGACAACAGAGTGAGACCCTATCTCAAACAAATGAACAAAAAACATACCTTTTTCATCTTGTATTTTTAACCTTTCTTTCTATACTTATTCCTTTCCTACAACTAGAAACACGTTCACATATATTTCATATTAAAAACATACCTTCCCCATCTTCTACCCTAGATCTTCTTCTTCTTCTTCTTTTTTCACCCTAGATCCTTATCTATCAATCCCCCTCTCAATAGCTTCTCTTTACAGCCAAGGTCCTTGAAAGAACTGCTTATGTTTGCTGTCTCAACCCACCTTCACCTTTCAATACAATGTGACCAGCTATCCACCTGCGTTCCTCCAGGGAAGCTCGCGTGGCAAGGCTCACAACCAGCGAACTTCTAAGTGTCAAAAACACTGGATGCTTTTCAGTTCTCTTCTTCTGGAGTTTTCTGTGGCTTTTGAGACTTTGGATCAAACCTTCAGTCCTGAAACTGTTTCCTCCTTTAACTTCCGAAACTGCTAGCAGAACCATTTCTCTCACAAGCCTATCTGCTCATGTCACTTTCTTGCTTGAAACAGAAGAATGAGGAAAGAAGATGGATGGCTGACCAAAAAATAAATAAATAAGGCCGGGCGCGGTGGCTCAAGCCTGTAATCCCAGCACTTTGGGAGGCCGAGACGGGCGGATCACGAGGCCAGGAGATCGAGAGACGATCCCGGCTAACACGGTGAAACCCCGTCTCTACTAAAAAATACAAAAAAACTAGCCGGGCGAGGTGGCGGGCGCCTGTAGTCCCAGCTACTCGGGAGGCTGAGGCAGGAGAACGGCGTAAACCCGGGAGGCAGAGCTTGCAGTGAGCTGAGATCCGGCCACTGCACTCCAGCCTGGGTGACAGAGCAAGACTCCGTCTCAAAAAAAAAAATAAAAAAAAATAAATAAATAAATAAATAAATAAATATACATATGGCCAAGAACGATACATGAAAATATACTCAGCCTCATACGTAATTAAAGAAATGTAAATTAAAATATGCAGAATGCCAAGTTTTACTTACCAAACTGACAAAGATTTCAAAGTTTAATCCTATTCGGTGTTGCCGTGTGTTGACATTTTAGGACAAATAATTTGACAACCTCTATCAAAATGCTCATGCCCATACCTTTGCCCTAGCAATTCCACTTTTAGAATTTTATCAAGATGCTGAGGTGGGTGGATCACGAGGTCAGGAGATCGAGATCATCCTGGCTAACACTGTGAAACCCCGTCTCTACTAAAAATACAAAAAAAATAGCCGGACGTGGTGGCGGGCGCCTGTAGTCCCAGCTACTCGGGAGGCTGAGGCAGGAGAATGACGTGAACCCAGGAGGCGGAGCTTGCAGTGAGCGGAAATCGTGCCACTGCACTCCAGACTGGCACAGAGTGAGACTCCGTCTCAAAAAAAAAATTTTTTTTAATCAAGATGTACAGTATACACAAGGATGTCCACTGCAACATTTTTCGTTATAGCAAACACAAAAACAAAAAATCCAAATGTTCATCACCAGAGATCTGATAATGATTCACCCTTATAATGGAATTGTATAAAAGAATTAAAAAGAATGAGGTGGATCTGGTCATGTGGAAAGATCTCCAAGATGTATCGAAAGAGAAATAGCAAGTTTCAGAAGAGTAATGAATCATATGATCCCAACTAAGTGTACAAATGCTGTACATGTGTGTGTACACACACACACATGCAGAGAACTGTTCTAAAATAATATACAAGACAATGTCAGTCTTGAACATCAATAAGGAAATGAATCTACAGCATGTGGTGAAGGAGCTTTTGTTCCTTACTATACGCTTCTCTGAATCGTTTCAATCTTTTACTATGAGAACGCGGTTATCTTACATTAAAAAGGTTAGTAAAGAGTCCAGCTTTCCTCCTCTGACCCATCTTTTTTTAAATTAAATTAAATTTATTTATTTGAGACATAGTTCCACTCTGTCACCCAGGCTGTAGTGCAATCTTGGCTCACTGCAACCTCTGCCAGCCGGGTTCAAGAGATCCTCCTGCCTCAGCCTCCTGAGTAGCTGGGATTACAGATGTGCTCCACTACACCTAGCAAATTTTTGTATTTTTAGTAGAGATGGTGTTTCGCCATGTTGGCCAGGGCTCTGGTCTTGAACTCCTGATATCAGATGATCTGCCAGCCTTGGCCTCCCAAAGTGCTGAGATTACAGGTGTGAGACACCATGCCTGGCTAATTTTATTTTTAATTGTATATTTTTAGTGACAGAGGTCTCACCATGTTGACCAGAGTGGTCTCAAACTTCTGGCCTCAAGTGATCCTCCCACTTCAGCCTTCCAAAGTGCTGGGATTACAAGTGTGAGCCACTGTGCCTGGCCTGAATTATTTTTTATAACTGCAGTGTGAATCTACAGGTACTTCAATTTTTTAAATATCTGTATGTCCACAAATAGATTTTATCGTACTTTATAAAAAGACAGGAATGAGATAAAGATGCCCATGATGACATTATTCAACAATATCCCACAGGCCATAGCCAATGTACTAAGAAAAGTCAAGATAAATTTTAAAAGCAAAACACAAATATTATTTGATAACATGACTGTCAATCTAGAATACAGAAGAATCAATTAAAAAAACTCAAGATTAATGGGATTTAGAAAGGTAGCTGGATATGAAACAAATATTAGAAAATCAGTGGCTTTCCTATGTGACAGCAGGACATGTCCCCCTCATTTTTTTGCCAGCACATATTTTTCTGTCGCCAGACTTATCCTTTGCTAATATTAAAAAGGTAGACGCTGGGTGTGATGGCTCACACCTGTAATCCCAGCACTTTGGGAGGCCAAGGTGGGAGGATCACTTGAACCCACGTGTTCAAAATCAGCCTGGGCAACAAAGCAAGACCATGTCTCAATTTTTTGAAAAATATTTTCTCAAAAAAGGGCCAGACGCAGTGGCTCACACCTGTAATACCAGCACTTTGGGAGGCCAACGCTGGCAGATTACCTGAGGTCAGGAGTTCGAGACCAGCCTGACCAACATGGAGAAACCCCGTCTCTACTAAAAATATAAAATTAGCTGAGTGTGGTGGCGCATGCCTGTAATCCCAGTTACTTGGGAGGCTGAGGCAGGAGAATCACTTGAATCTGGGAGGTGGAGGTTGCAGTGAGCTGAGATCACGCCACTGCACTCTAACCTGGGCAACAAGAGCAAAACTCCGTCTCAAAAAAAAAAAAAAAAAAAAAAAAAGAATAAGGTAGAGAAATAAAGATATAGCAGACAGTATGTCAAGAAAAATGGATAAAACACTGCAAGAAGCTTGATAAAAACAGTAAAAAATATCGGCCTTATCTCCTTCATGCATGTTGGCTTTTGGAAACAGAGTGGCAGGTGCCAATGGCTTGGAATGGAGAGAGGCAGACTCCATCTGCCATATCAACATAGTCCATGCCCATAAGCCTTCTTCATTGCCAAACAGACATACACACAATTGGGGCTCTTCCTTACCATCTTGCCGCTGACTGTGGCCTCTAGAGAATCCACCAGTTCTGCTGTGACTCCAATAAGATTGTGGTAGTCGGCCTGGATCTTATTGTACCGTTTGAGGTATGTCATTGACCTACGTTCAGCTTCAACCAGCTGCTGGTGGAGCTGCTGCAACATTTCTAGGAAGACAGTTTATATTAAAATAAAACAAACAACATCAATACAAATCCACAATATGAAAAATAATTGTATTCTTCTCAAAGAACTACCATACTTACTGTCAGAATGTTTTGTTGTAACAATAAACTTGACACCATTTGTGTTTCACACTTACTTCTATTTTATGCCACATTTATTTACATAGTGCTGTAACCAACTGACTTAAAATTTCCTTTTCAGGAAGTTCAACTCAATCCTCACTGGGTTTCCTAAGAAAATCGATTCCCTTGACTGAACCTCATGCAATTTCTTTTAGTTCTTCTATGTCTAAGAAAATAAACGTTTCTAGGGCTGGTGGTGGCTCACGCCTGTAATCCCAACACTTTGGGAGGCCAAGGTGGGCAGATTCCTTGAGGCCAGGAGTTGGAAACCAGCCTGGGCAACATGGTGAATCCCCATCTCTACTAAAAAAATACAAAAATTTGCCAGGCATGGTGGTGCTCGCCTATAATCCCAACTACTTAGGAGGCTGAGGCATGAGAATCACTTGAACCTGGGAGACAGCAGTTACAGTGAGCCAAGATCCTGCCACTGTCCTCCAGCCTGGGCAACTGGGCAACAGAGCGAGACTTTGTCTCAAAAAAAAAGAAAAGAAATGTTTTATTCTATACTGAGCTCACAAAATGCCTAAATCAAACCTGTGTCTTTTTCTCTGTTTTTGTATTATGAAGTCATCTGGGGGACAATTCATATCTGCAGGACACTTTATTTTAAATAAAATTTTGGACTACTTGACTCATGCTAGGAAAAATAAGAATGCAGAAGAGATTCCATCATTCTGCCAGTTTGGTAAAGCATAAAACCACTCCCACCAGGCCTTAGAGCAGGTAGCTTGGAAGGCTCTAGGATTGTCAGCTCGGAAGCCCCCCGTGGGCAGCCCTAAAGACACTGAAGCCAAGCCACCCTGGTCTCGGCAGAAACAGGCAAATCCCCATCGGTGTTAGCACTTCTTTGCCCACACTACCTGCCCTCTTTCTTGAAGGACATTTTAGACGAAAGGAGGTAGCACTGCCCCAAACCACAAGCCTGGCCAACATGGGGAAACCCATCTCTACCAAACATACAAAAATTAGCAGGCATGGTGGTGCACTCTCTTAATCCCAGCTACTCAGGAGGCTGAGGCAGGACAATTGCTTGAACCCGGGAGGAGGAGGTTGCAGTGAGCCAAGATCATGCCACTGCACTCCAGGCTGGGGCGACCAAGCCAGACTTCGTCTCAAAAAAAAAAAAAAAATTGTTTCAGATGGGGCATGGCGGCTTCATACCTAGAATCCCAGCACTTTGGGAAGCCGAGGCGGGTGAATTGCTTGAAGCCAGGAGTTCGAGACCAGCCTGGCCAACATGGTGAAACCCCATTTCTACTAAAAGTACAAAAATTAGCTGGGCATGGTGGCACGCCCCTGTAATCCCAGCTACTCAGGTGGCTGAGGCACTAGAATGGCATGAACCCAGGAGGCAGAGGTTGCAGTGAGCCAAGATCATGCCACTGCACTCCAGCCGGGGCAACAGAGCTGTCTCAAAGAAGTAAATAAATACAAATAAAGTTTTTCATATATATGCATAGTTCAAAATTAGATAAGCTAAAACTTCCAAAGATGAAAATTCTACAGAATAGTATTCATAATCCCATATTGCAGTAGTAAGTATTGGAGAACATCTATGCAAACTTTCTCAACACAGACCAAGTGGTACATGATGGATCGAGTACCAAAACCCATTAGCTAGGCTCAATGATCTCCCAAACCACCCATGTGAATGTCCCCAAAGCAGCCCCTCTGGACTGCACAAAGGAACCCTTTCCCCTAGAAGCTCATTCTGCAATGTACTAAACATAGAGAGATTATCTGTGGAACTTTTGCCTTGGGAACCGAGAATCAGAATTTACGACAATTTCAAAGTGTGGCACATCTCAGGGATAAAAGGCCAAACTGCCTGCAGCCTACTGGAAACAGAGAAGCAGGTAATAGGGCCGAAATGTTTGTGACCATTTTCAAATACAGTCAGCACTCCATATCCATGGGTACTGCATCTGTGGATTCAACCACCTCAGGTCAAAAATATTCGGGGAAAAAAGCACCTGTACTGAACACATACAGACTTTTTTTTCATATCATTTTCATGTCATAAACAAAACGGTATAACAACAATATACACAGCATTTACACTGCATTAGGTATAGGTAATCCAGAGATGATTTAAGGTATATGGGAGGACGTGTGTAGGTTGTATGCAAATACCATGCCATTTTACATAAAGGACTTGAGCATCTCTGGACTTTGGTTATCTGTGGGGGTCCTGGAAGCAATCCCTATAGAAGCTGAGGGACAACTGTATACTCTTTAGGAGGACAGCCTGCTACCTAGAGACATCACCTCGCAGATACTTTAACTAGCTACAAACAAGACCTGTCCATGACTATAAGCTACTTGGGTGACAGCTCAAACACATCAGCTTTATTTCAGAGCATTAAACAGGACTTTCTATTTTCCCTGTCAAAAGTTTTATGAGACAAGAACAGCTAAGCCAAGATGCCTTGCCATGCAAGACCTCAACTTCCTCTTTTTTTTTTTTTTTTTTTTTGAGATGGAGTCTGGCTTTGTCACCATGCCAGACTTTGGTGCAATCATAGCTCGCTGCAACTCCTGGGCTCAAACCATTCTCCCATCTCAGCCTCCTGAGTAGCTGGGACTTCAGATGGGCATCGTCGCACTTGGTTAATTTTTTTTTAGTTTTTGTAGCAATAGGGTCTCACCATGTTGGCCAGGCTGGTCACAAACTCCTGGCCTCAAGCTATCCTCCCACCTCAGCCTCCCACAGTGCTGGGATTACGGGCATGAGCCACCACGCCTAGTGGCAAGACCTCAACCTTTAATGGAGATGTCTTATTATAACCTTTATGTTATTTTAATAAAACCATGTTAGTCATGCTAGTGAAATTTACTGAGACTCTTCATATCCCAAACTACTGACATAACAGTGATGTAAATATCTCCCCTGTCACTGAGACTTTCTTTTTTAACCTTTCTACTTCACTTAGGGCACTGCATTTTTTTTTTTAAGGGTAAATGAGATTTTAATTGGCTGCTCAAGACAAAATGATCAACTTTTAAATATTGAATTGTTTTTCTCACCCACTGTGAAAAGCTAAAATTAACCCCTGTCTTTATAATGATATACTCTTTCCTGTTTTTATTCAGATAAAAATTATCTCTTTGCTACTTTGCTAATCCACAGATACTGGATGAAGAAAGTTACAATATAACTTATGAATATGAGTCATTATTTTTTAAAATACTGTTTAGGGCTCCAAACTCCAGAAAAATGATCAACTGCTCATTTTCTGAAAGGGTTGAATCAATTCATGCTAGAAATGCCAAAAGATACTATTTCTGTATCCTTTTTAAGTGACTAGGTAAAAATAATAATCCGATGTTACTATATAGTCAACCTGTTTTTATTCCATACAACATTTCAAACGTATGCAAGTACCTTTCTTTCCTTCTTTAAAAGCTTATGGCAATCTCACTTTAGGCATGAAAACTTCCTATCAAGATACACAGAACAATATCACGTAACCACTTCATTTAAAACAATGCCTGAGTCTAGAATTAAATTAAACTGGGGGCATGTCTGTGCCTTTGGTTACTGCAGCCTTAGCTGCAGGATGAAGAGACAAGGGGGTGACAAATGACTCTCATGCCTGGGCCCCAAATACGAATCTCCAGTCTCCATAGCAACACCGCATTACAGAGTTCACTCCGCCACAGACGCACTTTGCTTGTGAGACTCAAATCCACAGCCATTCTGCTTGGCTTCCAGAAAACTCAGTTAAAATCAACCCTAAAGAAGGCTTAAAAACTGGTCTCCTTACTGAAATTCCAACATTAAAAACCTGTAGAGAAACACAGCTCTTTTATTTGCATTCCCCTTCCCATGTTTATTTGATCTGCAAAACTGGGCCACTTATCAGATGGACATAATGCTCCCAGAAAAAAGCTGTGCTCAAAAATGCAGTGTATGCTAGCGGCACACGAGCGGCAGAAACTCAGGAACCAGGGAGAGTCTCTCACCACCTTCCCGCCCCCCCCCGCCTGGGAGTCCAAAGGCTAGTTCAGAACAGCGACCTGGCAGATTCAACTAACAACTAAGGCGGTTCTCTAGGGTCCAGGGATGCAGAGTGTGGTGGCGGTTTTAAAATGCCTGCAGTCTTTGACACAACCTCCTTCCCATCAAGAAGAGGAATGTAATCTTTCTCTGAAGGTGAGGGGCCCTAAGTAATTCACTTGCATGAAACAGAATGCAGTAGAAATGACTGACTTCCTTCAGAGGCTGGGTTAGAAAAAGTGATACAGCTTCCTCCTGGCTCTCTCTAGGGACATTCATCCTTGGAACCCAGGCAACATGCCTGGAGGAAGCCCAGGCCACAAGGAAAGGCCACAGAGGTGTTCTCGTCAAGGGCCCCTGCTGAGACCCCAGGTGACAGCCAGCACCGACCACCACTCTGCGTGTGAGTGCCTGGAGCTGGCCCCACCCCGCTCCACCTGCACAGGATAGACATGCTGAGGGAGAACAGCTTCACTGAGCCCACAGCTCCCAGACATGCAGGCTCATCACCACCATCGTAAGTGAATGTCGTTGTTTTGTGCCACCAAGTCGGGATGGTCTGTCAGGCAGTAATGGAACAGTAGGCTGAGGTGCATTTCCAGGAGCTGCAGGGCGAGATCCAAATTCCCAGCCCAGTTGAAGATACTAGCTGTGTTGGATGTGAGCAAACTGGCCCGCAATGCACCCTGGCCAAGGCCTGGGCCCAGGTTAGAACTGAGAGAGCAGCCTGCAGGGCTGAGGATGCAGACTGGGACTCTTCCTCCACATACTCTGCTGGGGACAGGGCAACCTTGGGGAGCTCCAAGACTCAGGGTGCTCCTGTGACCCTTGGAGCAGTCTAGGTTGATCCTGTAGGGCCACATCTGTTGCCCTGCTCCTCCATGAAGGGTCAGCAGGGCCTGTCCCCTCTGAGGGACAGAAGGGTCAGCATGGCTGGCAGAACCAGTAGCACACTTAGAATGGCTGAGCTGGGGATGCCTGAGGCTACCAAGAGCGAAACCAAGCATCCAAAGCCTTCTCAAAGGCTGATGCTGCCAAAGCCATCTTGAGTGACAAACCCAAACCCAAGCTCTCCCTGAGGTTGATAAACCCCACTGCTCAACTGCCAACTCCCTGGTGAGCAAAGAGCTAAATAATTTACTAATTAATGCTTCCTTTCTTTAAAAGAGTTCCATTCCCTAAAAAGAAACAGGAAAAAGCAATGGCAGGAAGTTCTGAAACCCTCTCTGACATGACTCTGCTCTGAAAGGGCAAATGTGCTGGTGCATGGAACAAGATCTCCTGTAGTCACACTCCACCTGCTGGGAACTGAGGGTTATGCCATCAACATTCACCAGAAGGATGACACGCCATCACAGGCCCTTCCCAGCATCATCATTTAAGCAGCTTTCAAAATGTAGTATCAAAGGCAAAATTGAGGCACAGTGCCCCAGCTGTGGCCACCAACTTCATATTAACTATACTTTTTCTCACCTTACTCAAAAGTGAATAGTTCTGGTAAAAATGATTGACCATGGAAAAATAACACTTTATGCTACAAACTGAAGGCTGGAATTCCTACTTTGGAATGGAAAATGCTTGATAAGAATGGGTACTCCATATGTCTTCAAAGACCCCAGTTGACTAGTTCAAGGTAAAAGTTAAACATATTAAAATAATTAACATTAATTAAATTAAAAGAATTCTCTCCTTATCCATGCCGCCCTATGCCTTCTAGGGAAAATGTGTTGCTGTTGCAGTTACTTCCCTTTGGGACATTATTGGATTCTCTTCATTTCCGCAAGGCTTAGCTATCTGATATATAAGGCGAAGATAACAATACTGGCCCTCCTGAAAATGGGCCTCAAGGAACTGCAGATCAATATGACTGCAAAGCCTTTCATAAATATTTAAACTCTTAAAGCCAAAATCATGAATTCTCTCCATCTTTGCACCAATTTTACTACTTAAAACCTGAACTGGTAAAGTTGTTTTTAGACAAATTTAAATCTAGATGATTTACCTTTGTTACTTTGTCCATTCTCCTTCTGGGATGAAAAAGAAGTTCAGGAAAACAGGCATTCAGGGAACAGTACTTGGGGTATCGGACTTCCTGTGGCCAATGTGAGAAAGCACCTCAGCATGGTGAAACAGAGTTCTCGGGCCGGGAGGGCCAGCTCCACCTGTTGCTATAAATAGCTAAGCAACTTCTCCATACTCACCGGACTCACTCCCAAACAAGTCCTCTTCTCCCCATCTCAATTATCACTGTCTGAATTCAAGTCTTGCACTATTTCAAAAGCCTCCTATCCCCTTCCTATCCCCTTCCAAAGGCCTTCCCGACTGCTACCAAGCCATTCTACTAAAAATGGAAATGTGATTTTATACATACTTCAACTCTAACTTCAATTGAAAGCTTGATCCTAAGGAAACTGATATTGAGGTGAAAACAGCATAGCACAGTGTTGCTAAGACCACGGACACTGGAGCCAGACTGCCTGGGTTCAAATCTCAGCTCCCACATGTCTGGCTGCATGACTGAAGGCAGTTACTTAACATGTTTCTTTTCCCTTAATTTGTCTTAAACTTTTCCTCAATTTTTTGGTAACAGCTTTATTCACATAGTGTACAATTCACCTATTTAAAGTGTACCTTTCAGGCCAGGCGTGGTGGCTCACGCCTGTAATCCCAGCACTTTGGGAGGCCGAGGCGGGTGGATTACCAGGTCAGGAGATGAGACCATCCTGGCTAACATGGTGAAACCCCGTCTCTACAAAAATACAAAAAATTAGCCGGGCACAGTGGCTCACGCCTGTAATCCCAACACTTTGGGAGGCTGAGGCTGATGGATCACAAGGTCAGGAGACTGAGACCATCCTGGCTAACATGGCGAAAACCCATCTGCACTGGGGAAAAAAAAAAAAAAAATTAGCCAGGCGTGGTGGCAGGAGCCTGTCGCCCCAGCTACTCAGGAGGCTGAGGCAGGAGAATGGCGTGAACCCGGGAGGCGAAGCTTGCAATGAGTGGATATCGTGCCACTGCACTACAGCCTGGGCTACAGAGTGAGACTCCGTCTCAAAAAAAGAAAAAATGCAAAAATTAGCCAGGTGTGGTGGCAGGTGCCTGTAATCCCAGTTACTTGGGAGGCTGAGGCAGGAGAATCACTTGAACCCAGGAGGTGGAGTTTGCAGTGAGCCGAGATCGTGCCATTTCACTCCAGCCTGGGGGACAAGAGCAAAACTCTGACTCAATAAATAAACAAATAAATAAATAAATAAAGTGTACATTTCAGTGGTTTTCAGTGTTTTCAGAGTTGTGCAACCATCACTACAATCAATTTTGGAACATTTTCATCATCCTCCAAAAGAAACCCTGTACTCACTGGCAGTTACTCCCATTTTCCCTGCTCTCCCCAGCCCCTGGCAACCACTGATTTACTTTCTGTCTTTCCAGATTTGCCTCTTTTGGACATGTTATGAATAGAGTCATATAATACCTGGTCCCTGCCACTGGCTTCTTTCAGTGAGCATAACACTTTCAAGGATCATTCATGTTACAGCATGAATCAGTGCTTCATTCCTTTTTACAGCTGGATAATATCAAATGATATTCCATCATTTGGGTAACACCACTGTTTGTTTATCCATTCATAAGACGATAGACATTTGGGTTGTTTGCATTTTTTGGTTATTATGAATGTTACTGTGAACATTTGTGTACACATTGTTGTGTGGACATATGTATGTTTTCATTTCTCTTGGGTATATAGCTAGGACTCCAATTCCTGGGTCATGTGGTAACTCTGTTTAAACCTCTGAGGGAACTCAACCTGCTTTTGAAGGCTATTTAATGATATGGGACGATGTTCTCTTCCTTTGATAAAAATACATAGAAATATACGCACACAAAAATTTACCTACATTTATTACAATTTGGGGGTATGTCTGTATCAAATACATTTCTGTACTTTCCAAACTTTGTATAAGTAATACAGTTGATTTTATAATCAGGAAGTAAAAAGTGATTTTTTGCAACACAACTATTCTCCTGCTTAAAATGCTTCAAAGGCTCCTTATTCCTTATAGGACTTTGCATAAACCTTTATGACCTAGGCCTTGCCTAGTCTCTGAGTTTGCCTACGTCAATACTCTGCTCCAGCAATATTAAATTATTTTAGTTTCCCAGGCACTGTCTCAGTGCCTTTGCACAGGCTGTTTCCTCTACCTGTAATTCCCATCCCTCCTGTGTTTGCCTCACAGACTCCATTTTATTGTCCAAAGCTCCAATTTGGCTAAGAGAATTACACCTTGGCCTTTTCTTTATATCCCTAAATCCTAGAGCAATATTTGACTCATAGCAGAAGCTTAATGTATTGAACTGAACTGCAAATATTTTCATGTAACAAGGAAAATATTAGAATGTTATTTATAGTGACCTGCTATATTTCAGCATATGCTTCAAAGCATGTAGAACAAGATGAAAGGTGACAAGTACTTAAAAACTCTAATGCCAATAGCTAACAGTTATCAAGCACTTACTATATACTGGACTGTTTCATACAAGTTATATGTATTAACTCAATCTTCATAATCTTCCTATAAAATAGGTACTATGATTTTTTTTTATTCTTATTTTTTTGAGACAGGGTGTCACTATGTTGCCCAGGCTGAAGTTCAATGGCACGATCACAGCTCAATGCAGCCTCAACTTCCCGGGCTCAGGTGATTTGCCCACTTCAGTCTCCCCCAAATAGCTGGGACCACAGTCATGTGGACGCTACCAGGCTCAGCTAACTTTTTGTACTTTTTGCAGAGATGGGATTTCGCCATGCTGCCCACGCTGGGCTCAAACTCCTGGGCTCAAGTGATCCTCCCGCCTTAGCCTCCCAAAGTGCTGGGATTGTAGGCGTGAGTCACAGGGCCCAGTAAGCTACTGTTTTGAATATACTAATATATTATTAATATAACTAATATGATTTACCATGTAAATCATTTTGATTAGATTCTTAACATATTGGCACCCATAATTATTAAGCTGAGCTACTCTGGGCACACTGCCTATGGGGTAGCCCTGCTCCAAGAGGAGCAGTATCAAAAAAAAAAAAAAATTAAGCCAAGAAACACTTTTTAAAAGCATGTTCAAATAATTATAAGTCAAATTGAAAAAGTTCTAGTTTCATTGAAAACCACTGTATATGAAACTCTAGGAAGAAAAAGGATTGGATACGCCAACATCATGGTATGTAGGTAAAGAGAAGAATTTAAACAAAAGCCTTAAGGATACAAAGGCAGAGAGGAGAGCTGTAGATCAGTCTGTTTGGCTCAGGCCAGGCTAAGGAATCTGAAGACGGGCAACAGGGAAGGCTTAGGAAGCTCAAGAAGAAAAGCAGCATAGAATCCTAGTGACAAAAAAACCTCAATTAGGTCAAGAAAGTCAAATGCTTTGGAGTTAGAAACGAAGCAGAAGGTATTATGTGGCAAAGTAGCCTATATTTTTCATGAAATAAAACAAAACAATCACCAATTTTATGATTCAAAACATTATATTCTTGTTATGAAATAACTTTGGATACATTTTTCTTCCGAATAAAAGGAGACACTTGTCTTTAGAGACTAATAACCTTTGGGAAACGAGTCTTCCATGGGTTGGGTGACCTCATGTTCTGCTCTTCCTGAAACGGGCTCTATTTACACCTGTCACCCTGGCACTTTGTCCAGTTAGTGCCCCATTTTACTCTCAAAAGTGTCCCAGTTTGAACTGGACTGTGGTGATACTGCACAGCTCTGTACATTTGCCAAAAAGCATTAAATTGTACACCTACCATGGGTAGATTTTACACCTCAATAAAGTTATTTAAAAAGAAATCCCAATTTGAATGACAAGTTAGATTGTTACCTGATCCATATGCCATGGCCTGAAGGCCTTAAAAGTGGTTAAGTGATATTTTGCAAATGGACAATTATCCCAAGGAGTTCTTTTACAAGAAGACAAACTTTCTTTTCTACCAAGACAGCTTCTAGCCACATGACATCAAAATAAGACCTCGCCAAAAAGAAAGTCTCAGAGACCTAATGATAGAGAAGTTGATCTCTATAGGCCCTGCCACTAATGATTCTTTGATCTTGTAAATATGAAAGCAACACTATTAATTATCCCTATTTAATGAGGCAACCTAAGCCAGTGTGCTACTCTAAATAAAATCTGCTCTAAAACCATAGGTGGTCTCTATTTGCTTCAAAAGGATACATATATTGTTAAAAGCTTTGGCGTGTTGCTGGCTTTAAATATTAAAGCTAGAAACTTTTCCAACTTCAACTTTAACTCTGGAGTCCAGGAATCCTAAAGAAAAAAACAAGGGAACAAAAACACAAACATTAGATTACTAAGTACCAACAGTATCATCAAGTTGAGGTCATTAGGCCAAAAAACCCTGCACAGTGATTGAAACCAAAAGCAAAATGTCTTGCCAGTGATGTGAGGCTGTGAAAAACAGGTTTAGGACATCTGACCAACTCATTTATAGAAGATTCAAGTGTCCACAGTAGGAAGAAAAAATAGAGTTCTTTCATAAACAGGGAAAAAATAACCCTGAACATGATTTGAATATTTCACGTGATTTAAACACAATCGTGACAAGGAACCTTATTAGGCTGCATACCAAAAATAGTTCAGTACAGTCTAGGCACGCACAGCACTGGGAGGCATAACATAAACAATTATCACTAAGTTACTGAGACTTTCCCCAAGAAAGGGACTCATTTCCACAAGCCTCATCTAGATAAGAAAAAAGGACAGAAGCTATTTTCTGCCACAAATACCCCATCATGTCAAGAATTATGATATAGTCTTAACATGATTTATCCTTTAAAAATAAATTATTTATCTCAAATAATGCTTATTAAGAAGAAAAAATTAATGACTTAAATAAGAAAAAAACATAACAAGTAACTATCTTTGTCTCAGGACAATTTTCCTTATACTCTTTATACAGAAATATCTTCTACCCAAACCAAGAAGTTCCACAAAAAAAGCAGCTAAGCCACTAAAAATGCATACCCACCATCCTTTTGGATGCTGCCCCATGGCCCTTGGACCTTTCCATCCTTCTCCACCGTCTGCCTCTCCAGCTCTGTAACCTCCTCCACGCTTCCCACCCCCACCCAATCATTCTAGCCAGTATGTCATCTGATTTCTGGAAAAAATACTGCCAGATGAGCAGAAAGTTCTTTTTTTTTTTTTTTTCTGAGACAGAGTCTTGCTATGTCACCCACGCTGGAGTGCAGTGGCTCAAGGTTCAAGCGACTCTCCTGCCTCAGCCTCCTGAGTAGCAGGGATTACAGGCGAGCGTCACCAAGCCTGGCTAATTTTTGTATTTTTTTTTTTTGGTAGAGAAGGGGTTTCACCATGTTGGCCAGGCTGGTCTCGAACTCCTGACCTCAAGTTATCCACCTGCCTTAGGCTTCCAAAGTGCTGGGATTACAGGCAAGAGCCACCATGCCCAATCACAGAGTTCTTATATTTTTAAAAAATTGTGTAATTCCCTTATACTGCATGATAACTTTGTTTATAACATGTGTGTCATTATGGATTGAACTGTGTTCCCTCAAAATACATGCTGAAATCCTAACCCCTGGTACCTCAGAACATGAGGTCGTTGGGAATGGGGTCATTGCCGATGTAATTAAAGTTAAGATAAAGGTCACACTGGAGTAGGGTGGGTCCTTAATCCAATATGACTGGTGTCCTACAAGAAGAAGAAAATTTAGACACAGACACAGAAGGAAGACCGCCACATGATGATGGAGACAGAGACTGGAATGATGCTGCCACAGTCACAGAACCCCTGGGGCTACCAGAAGTTGGGAGGGGAAAGGAGGGATCCTCCCCTAGGATTCAGGGACAGCATAGCCGGCCAACACCTTGATTTCAGATTTGTAGCCTCCAGAACTGTAAGACAATGAATGTCTGCTGTCTCAAGGCATCTGGCCTGTGGTACTTTGTTAGGGCAGCCCTAGGGAAATCACCCGAGTGCTACAACTCAAGGTAGTCTATGCTCAACCACACAGAGAAGAATCTCAGGAAAGGACTGCTACATCTCAAAAAACAAAACGAAATGCTTGGGACATGCAGACTTCCAGTTAGATTGCTCTGTTGTTGACTACTATTTTGTATAACCAACAAATATGTGTTTTCAATGTAATTACTTACTTTATGATGCTCTGGTAATGACAGGGATGAGACTGAAATAAAGCCTCTCTGGACATGAGTCACTTATATTTTTTCTTGACCATTCTTACTTTTTCTGTGCTTTCAACTCTGAGAAGAAGAACATTTCCGAGCTGGGCGTGGTGGCTCAGTTTGTTAAATGAAGAGATGGTCAGAGATAGGAGGAAAATTAGAAGGAAAATTAGAGCAAGGAAGCCAAGGAGTTTTTTTTTTGAGACGGAGTCTTGCTCTGTCACCCAGGCTGGAGTGCAGTGGCACAATCTTGGCTCACCCCAACCTCTGCCTCCCGAGTTCAAGAGATTCTCCTGCCTCAGCCTCCGGCGTAGCTGGGATAACAGGCATTAGCTACCATGCCTGGCTAATTTTTGTATTTTTAGTAGAGACGGGGTTTCACCATGTTGGCCAGGCTAGTCTGGAACTCCTGACCTCAGGTGATCCGCCCACCTTGGCCTCCCAAAGTGCTAGGATTAGAGGCGTGAGCCACCACACCTGGCCTAAATTTTTAATATGTTAAAGAAATAGGCCGGGCGCGGTGGCTCAAGCCTGTAATCCCAGCACTTTGGGAGGCCAAGACGGGCGGATCACGAGGTCAGGAGATCGAGACCATCCTGGCTAACACCGTGAAACCCCGTCTCTACTAAAAATACAAAAAAAAACTAGCCGGGCGAGGTGGTGGGCGCCTGTAGTCCCAGCTACTCTGGAGGCTGAGGCAGGAGAATGGCCTAAACCCGGGAGGCGGAGCTTGCAGTAAGCTGAGATCCGGCCACTGCACTCCAGCCCGGGCTACAGAGCAAGACTCCGTCTCAAAAAAAAAAAAAAAAAAAAAAAAAAAAAAAGAAATAAAAGAGAGGAAGGAATGAGAGACTATAAAAATGTCCCAGCAAATTTGAATAAACAACAACAACAAAAAACTTCTAATAAAGAGTTAACTGAAATTACAAATTCAATGAAAAGGTTAAAGAACGGACTAAACATAGCTGGAGGGTGAGTTTGTGAACTGGAAGGCAGATGTGAAGAGATCACCCAGAATACAGCCAGGGAGATTAAGAGAAGGAAAATATAAGATATTAAAATGTATGGCGAGCACAATGATGTGCACGTTCTTAGCACCACTCAGCTGAACCCTCAAAAATGGTCAAAATGGTGGCAGTGCATGCCTATAGTCTAGCTACTCGGGAGGTTGAAGTGGGAGGATCACTTGAGCCAAGGAGGTCAAGGCTGTAGCGAGCTATAATCATGCACTTCAGCCTGAGGGATAGAGTTTTAAGAGACTCCATCTCTTTAAAAAAAAAAAAAAAAGTGAAAATGGTAAATTTTATGTTATGTGTATTTTATAATTTTTTAAATAAAAAAGACATGGAGAATATAATAAGTCTCATATACATTTAGTCAGATATCTAGGAGATAATAAAGAGAATGGTAATATACAGAGATACAAATTGAGCATTTTTCAGAGTTGTTGAAAGACACAAAACTTCACATCCAGGAAACCCAACGAATCCCAAGTAAAAATAGAAATCTATCCCTAGAAACACTGTAGGGAAATGATACAATCCCAGAGGCCAGAGAAAAGAGATGGATCACCTACAAAGGAACAGCAATTAGACTGACAGCCAACTTCAAAACAGCAGCAATGCGAGCTAGGAGATGGTGCAATCTAGCTAAGCTTTGTATCGTCAATGTACTAAGAGAAAATAACTGTAAACCTAGTATTCTAAATCCTACCTGAGAAAGCAATAAAGACACTGCAGTCAAACAAGAACTGAAAGAAGAGATCTTCAAGGAAAGGGGGTTTTAAAGACATGTACTTAAATAAGAGGAGACAACTATCCCAGATGGAAGGTCATTGACACAAGATGGAATGATGAACAAAAATACTAGTAGCTATAAGGGAAAATCTACACACACTGATTGCATAAAATAGTAAAACTTCCTAATTTGTACATTTAAAATATATAACTAAGATACTTGGCAGAAAAAAAAAAAAAAGCACATAAATTGCAAAGGGGATGAATGAAGTTAATGCATTCTGAGTTCCCTGAATGTTCTGGAAGAAAATAAAGATTAAATTTAGACTTTATGGCTGGGCGTGGTGGCTTATACATGTAATCCTAGCACTTTAAGAGGCTGAGGCAGGCGGATCATCTGAGGTCAGGAGTTCGAGACCAGCCTGGTCAACATGGTGAAACCCCGTCTCTACTAAAAATACAAAAATTAGCCAGGCATGATGGCACGTGCCTATAATCCCAGCTACTCGGGAGCCTGAGGCAGGAGAATCGCTTGAACCCAGGAGGTGGAGGTTGCAGTGAGCCAAGATCGAGCCATTACACTCTAGCTCGGGCGACAAGAGTGAAACTCCATCTCAAAAAAAAAAAAAATTGACTTTATTATGTATACATACTAAAAATATCTATGTTACCATTAAAAGAACATATGTAGACTAACAAAAGAAAAAAATGGAATAAAATCAATCTCCACGAATACAGATGGTCATTAAATTCCTTAAACCACCAGAAGCTGAACTCCATCTTGGAACACCAAACCTGAGTGAGTCAAGCTGCCAGCTGCAGCCTCTGCTAGGCCCCATCCCTGATTCTGCCAGCTCTGCTGCCACCTGGATCCAAGCTTTATCCATGCTGCTATGCCAGAATAGTCATGAACAGAATACTCAGGAACGGAAGTCTCACTGTGAGAAAATCTACCATCCCCTTCCAAGATTATTTATTTTTAGAAATCTTTAAATTTAAGGCCGGGCGCGGTGGCTCAAGCCTGTAATCCCAGCACTTTGGGAGGCCGAGACGGGTGGATCACGAGGTCAGGAGATCGAGACCATCCTGGCGAACACCGTGAAACCCCGTCTCTACTAAAAAATACAAAAAACTAGCTGGGCGAGGTGGTGGGCGCCTGTAGTCCCAGCTACTCGGGAGGCTGAGGCAGGAGAATGGCATAAACCTGGGAGGCGGAGCTTGCAGTGAGCTGAGATCCGGCCACTGCACTCCAGCCCGGCTACAGAGCGAGACTCCGTCTCAAAAAAAAAAAAAGAAATCTTTCAATTTAATTTTTAATTTTTTTAAATTTATTTTTATTATTTTCTTTGTTTTAATCCTCCAAGACATCTGAACCCTTCCAAATTTAACCACCTTCTTAATGTTTATTTCTTCAACTTTCTGGGAGAGGAAGTAGGTAAATCTAGAATGATCAAGAAAAAACAGCAAAAATTTCAACTTGGGCTACTCTACAAAAGGCCTGCTTTAATGAAAGCAGTCAACTAAGTAGCCTTCAGTTTAGCAGTTACTATTCAGGAGGGATGAAAGTTGTTTTACAGAATTATAACTGAACGGGATGCTGAAATGTACTGGGATTTGGAAGAATTGCATCAGTTGCTGTTGAGTGACAGAGTGACCTGGGTGACAGAATGAGACTGTCTCCAAAACACAAACAAACAAGGCCAGGCGCAGTGGCTCACGCCTGTAATCCTAGCACTTTGGGAGGCCAAGGCAAGTGGATCACCTGAGGTCAGGAGTTCAAGACTATCCTGGCCAACATGGTGAAACCCCATCCCTACTAAAAATACAACAATTAGCCAGCCGTGGTGGTGCGCACCTGTAGCCCCAGCTACTCAGGAGGCTGAGGCAAGAGAATCGCTTGAACCCGGGAGACAGAGGTTGCAGTGAGCCGAGATTGCGACACTATACTCCAGCCTGGGCGACAGAGCGAGACTATCTCAAAAAAAAAACCAATTAAACAAACAAAACATACTTGTGTTAAAATTCATGGAACTATACATCCTAAAAAGTCAATTCTATGTGTGAGAATGTAAAAAGTTTAAAGTTGCCATTCGAGCAGGTGAGAATCCTTGCTTGCTGTAATTTTTTTTTTTGAGACAAGGTCTTGCTCTATTGCCCAGGATGGAGTGCAGTGGCACTCTTGGTTCACTGCAACCTTCACCTCCCGGGTTTGAACAATTCTTCTGCCTCAGCCTCCTGAGTAGCTGGAATTACAGGTGCATGCCACCACGCCCAGTTAATTTTTGTACTTTTAGTAGAGATGGGGTCTCCCTATGTTGGCCAGACTGGTCTCGAACTCCTGGCCTCCAGTGATCCACCCACCTCGGCCTCCCAAAGTGCTGGGATTACACGTGTGAGCCACCGCGCCCAGCCAACTTTCTGTAACATTTTAACACTGGTACACATATGCCTAAAAACTACTTTTGTTTGCTTTGATGTATATGTAAAGGGAATCACATAGCTTGTCCTCTCTTGTATCCAGCTTAAGATTTCATCATTGTGTGATTTAGTTCATTCATTCTCATTGATGTATAATATTCCATTGTGTGAATATAACACAATGTATTTATGCATGCTCCTGTTGGTGTACAATTGGGTTGTTCCTAGTTTTTGCTATTACAAAGTGTTAATTACTGTAACTCTTCCAGATTTAATGTATGTACAAGTCGCAAACCACTGCTAGTACAGGATGGCAAAAACCAAACCTAACTAACCATCTAATAGAAGACTGACTAAAAAATTATGGCTATAACTAAAAATAATAACAGAAGCAAATTTTAGTTTTTTAAAGCATCATTCAGAAACCCCCAGCTTATAGAAGATAAAACCACAATGTCACCCAGGACCTGACACAAGAGTTAAAAGCTGGCACTTGCCTGGAAGAGTTCTTTAAATGACGGGTGCACCATAGGGTTGGGAACAAAAGGAAGGGCATAGAAAGGAAGAAACTCTGTGGTCTGGCTCAAGGCTGCCCCTTTGGTCTCCAGGTAGGTTTTGAAGTAAGAAATCTTTTCATCCAGCTCCTCTTTGTCCTGGAGGAAGGGAAAGCATTTGTTTGAGGTCTCCAGCTCAATGCCCAGTCCATCTGCTCACCCTATCCTCTCTCTGAGGCTCCTTCTGTCCCAGTCATGTCGCTGGCATCCCCTATCTAGCCTGGCAGGTGCGTTGTCTCTAGAATTCTACCATCCACCCCAAATTTCCCCCTTAATGAAACTTAGGAAGATCAGAGAACTGTATATACAGTTCAATATGCTGCTTTTTAACTTTATTATTGCCATTTTCTCACATCCTTAAAATTCTTCATAAACATTTTCAATGGCAGGACAAAACCTCACCTTGTCTATCACATTTATTTAACTAGTTTCCTCATTATTAGACAGACACATGGCTTCTACTTTTCAGATATAAATAAGTATCTGTCTGCATTCCCATGCCTCCAGCAGGAGCGGTTTCTAAAGGTTAACAGGCATTTCTTTATGGTGTTTGGAAACAGAAGCTTCCATCTCGCCCCTTTCCTTTCTTGTGCTAAGGCCTGGGCTCGCTCCGTGTCACTATTCCATGTGTATCCCAGGCAAGTTAGTTCCCCTCTCAGGGTTCTACCTCCTCTTGGCCCTCAATGAGAAAACCAGAGTTGGTGAATGTGGGGCTTTGCTCCCACACTGGCTCTACCAGTCATGGCCTTCACAGTCTCGTACACAGACTAACCTTTTCCAGAGTTGGTGAATGTGGGGCTTTGCTCCCACACCGGCTCTACCAATCATGGCCTTCACAGTCTCGTACACAGACTAACCTGTTCTTACAAACACATCTCAGTTGACCTAAACTAGGAGGCCCTCTTTTGACCCCCAGACGTAAAAGAAACAGAAATACAAACAGAAAATGAAAATCTCCTGTGATCTTCCCTGGAAGAGTAATAACCTGAGGAACAGCCTTCCAACAACTACTACAATGTACGGTCCCGCTGCTCCCTCCACCACTGTCCCCACCTTTGGTGTTCTGACATTCTCATGTGTTCACATTGGTCCACAGGGCAGTAATTAATGCATGGGGTCAAATGCCAGCTCGCCTCTGTTGCCCTTCTGTCATCAAAGCTCAGCCACCCCAGCAGCTTGACACTTCAGCCCTCTCCTCTCTTCCCATCTCCAGCCCCATCTGGGAAAGGACTGCAGACGCTAAATTCAACCTATCACTCAAAAGGACTTTCCACAAAGAGACGTACACTTTTCCACGACTTAAGTTTAAATGTGTGTTCTGGCCAGACACAGTGGCTCATGCCTGTAATCCCAGCACTTTGGGAGGCCAAGGTGAGAGGACTGTTTGAGCCCAGGAGTTCAAGACCAGCCTGGGCAACATAGCAAGACCCTTTCTCTACAATAAATATATAAATAATTTTATGTTCTAATATAGGGTCTAATATGCAGCTGAAATATGGATTCTCTTAGACATACATGTCTACAGACGAAATTGCCAAATAAACTTAATTTTGATGAGGTTTCAAAAACTTGAGGTATTTAGGAAAACAATATAGCTTTGATTACAGAAATTATTAAATCTCCATAAAAATTAGAATATGAGCTGCTGGGAATATGGTAGAAAATCACTCCTCAGGACAGAGGATGCCTGTACCTTGTAAGCAATATAACAAAACAGCCACATATAAAATCCACACCCATGTGGACAATGACAGCAAACACTGTTCCTTAACACACCATTCAGACCCACCCGCAACACCAGGTAAACCCACCGGTCTCCCCACAGAGTGCTTCAGAAGATAGATGGCAAAATGGATGTGGAGATAGAATTCCAGCTTCTGGGCAAAGGAGTCCCCATCTCGGACGGAACTGGGAATGTGCTCCTCCCACAGACTGAAGAACACCTTCTGGTCTCCGTCGTCAAATGCAGCAACAAGATCCTTCTGTGGAGAAGACGTCAGACTACACCTCGTTGTAAATTTCAACACCCAAAATTCTCACAACTCACAACACCACAGATTTCCCACATACTCCTTTTCAGAGGTAAAGGATAGAAAAACAGAGATCCCACAGGATTCAAGCTCCTGAGCCTGCGATTCCTGCAGACCAATCCTGGTTTCCCACACCTTTGCAATATCTAATCTGGGCACTATGAAGAACACACAAAACATTTAAGGTCTTTGAAACAGAAAGAATCAGGCATAGAACAAAGACTTGGGGCCAGAGAACTCACGGACACGTAAATACACTGAAGTCACCCTTTGGACCTGCGGACCCACAGCATGCAACTGACAAAAACTATCCAGACCGAGTCTAGCCGGGCCTCCCAGGAACAAACCTCACATGCACGGAAGGTTGCTGACAGCATTGCTCCACGTCCTGGAGTGGCCGGGAGCCCACACACACTGACCCAGTCAATCCTGGGCCTAGGCAATAGCACTGCCACTTGCCCCACTGCTAGAAGCACACCAGGCTGAGATGGAGCTGAAGGAAGACCCCAATATACCATAAGGTGACTGTCCATGCCTGCCAGCTGCAGCTGCAGCGACAGAGAAGGCTGGAGGTGGAGGAAGGAGCACCAGCTCAGTGCCGTTTGACCTGGGACAACGACAGTGTCATGATTTAGCATGCACTAGTTGAAAGAATTCTGGAGAAAGGAAGTGGCAATTATCACGTCACCTGTCTCACAAGGAAGATAATTCACCTGTCACAAATACCTGTGGCATAATTTTGTGGATTTCAGTAAAAGGCAGAAGTGAAAGAACTTCCTAAGAGTCTGAAACAATGCAGCTGCTACTGTTCTTTTTGTATCGAATGCCCAAGATATTTGGACTTACATTTTATGCTCAACTGCAACAGTGTTTCTGAGATTGGATTTTCTATAGAATCCCCACTTCCGGCCGGGCGTGGTGGCTCAAGCCTGTAATCCCAGCACTTTGGGAGGCCGAGACGGGCGGATCACAAGGTCAGGAGATCGAGACCATCCTGGCGAACACAGTGAAACCCTGTCTCTACTAAAAAAATACAAAAAACTAGCCAGGCGAGGTGGCGGGCGCCTGTAGTCCCAGCTACTTGGGAGGCTGAGGCAGGAGAATGGCGTAAACCCGGGAGACAGAGCTTGCAGTGAGCTGAGATCCAGCCACAGCACTCCAGCCTGGGCGACAGAGCAAGACTCCGTCTCAACAAAAAAATAAATAAATAAAGAATCCCCACTTCCCCACCCAATACCATTGTTACTTACCACCATTATTGGCCTTTGTTCTTTTATACTTCTAAAAATGAGTTCATGGGTGCAGTGGCTCACACCTGTAATCCCAGCACTTTGGGAGACCAAGGCGCGTGGATCATGAGGTCAGGAGTTCAGCCTAACCAACATGGTGAAACCCCGTCTCTACTAAAAATACAAAAACTAGCCAGGCGTGGTGGTACATGCCTGTAATCCCAGCTACTCCAGAGGCTGAGGCAGGAGAATTGCTTGAACCCGGGAGGCAGAGGTTGGAGTGAGCCGAGATTGTGCCACTGCATTCCAACCTGGGCAACAGAGTGAGACTCCATCTCAAAAAAAAAAAAAAAAAGTGAGTTTACATGGCCGAGCATGGTAGCTCACACTTGTAATCCCAGCACTTTGGAAGGTCAAGGCAGGCAGATCATTTGAGCCCAGGAGTTCAAGACGAGCCTGGACAACATGGTGAAACCCTGTCTCTACTAAAAATACAAAAATTAGCTGGGCGTGGTGACATGTGCCTGTAGTCCCAGCTACCTGGGAGGCTGAGGTGGAAGGACCATCTGAGCCCTGGAGGTAGAGGCTGCAGTGAGCTGAGACTGCACCACTGTATTTAGCCTAAGCGACAGAAAGAGACCCTGTCTCAGAAAAAAAAAAAAAAAGAAAAACGTTTACAGATAATTTTCCTGCAAAATTGTCATTTTTAAAAATTACTTGTTTTATCTGTTTATAAGCAAATTTTCTAACATAAAATGGAAACGTATAGAGAACAAATAATGTAACAGTGTTTGGTTACACATATGTCAAAGATGTTGATTGGTAAGGAATCCTCAAATCTGAGTATTACAAAAATGTTCACTATGTCATGTGATCAAAAACTGTCTCTGAATACTGCCTGATGCTGGAAGGTGCCGGTTACATTTCAAGTAAACTCAGAATTTTTCTAATAAGCCCTACAATGAGCATCTACCTCCTCAAGGCTGGCTCTTCTGTTCCTCCTGGACACAGGCAAGGGACAGTCTGTTAGCAGCTGTGGGTGGGGGTTGCCAAAACAAAGCACAAGCAGCTGAATACAGCCACCTCTTGGAAGAATTTGGGGAAGCTGGCCAGAGACCCGCATGCTTGTTAATGACTGCCACAAAGGTGAACAGATCCTCCTGGGGCAGTGCTATGGGGCCAGGCTCACCCCCACGCTTGCCTCTGCCAAGGTCCCAAGTAAGCCCTGTGACCATTCCTGAGGAGGCCTTGCCACGAGAAGTGCGGTGACCAAGAGTTCTCTGACTGTGTGATTGAGGTGAGCGCAGACTCTTGTGAAATGTTATGGCTTAGAGAAAAGATATTTTCTTAACATGGCTTGGCAGAATCCACAAGTCAAAAGGCCCATCTACAGTTTGTTCTAAGGTCTCTATTTGTAGATCTGAAACCACAAACCTTTGCTGTCATCATAATCACCTCTATCATCCTTCCTAACTCATGACTCATATTCTGTACCTGGAAATGGTCCCTGAGCTTAAAATAATACCCACACATAAAAGAATCCACTATTATAACTTACAGTCACAAAATATTAGTGATGTTCTATAAACTATGATCAAAGCAGAATCAACAAGATGAGAAAATGTGTACACCATCAATAGTAACTTGTAAACACACATGTTTCTTACATCTCACAACAATGTAAACATACTTAACACTACTGAACTATACACATAAAACTGCTGGGGGAAACTCACTATTTTTTGAGTTCCACTAAAAATTAGCATATTTTTCTCAACCTCAGTTCTAGATGTATTTTTTTCTTCTTCTTTTTAAATTTTTTCCCCACTCTTCTTCACTCAAACCAGACATTTCATTTGGGAAATCTACCATAGTGGGGGGACACAGCTGTTGATTGGATGAGCAGAAAAGAAATGTCTGTGACATCAGAAAGGTTCAAGGTCTTTCAAGTTATATAAAAATGAACCTGAAGACATCAGAGAAATACAAATCAAAACTATGACAAGATATCACTTCAAACCCATCAAAATGGCTAATATTTTAAAAACACACAGAGAGAAAATAACAAGCATTGGCAAGGAAGTAGAGAAACTGGAACGCTTAAGTACTGCTGGTGGGAATGGAAAATGGTACAACCACTTTGTAAAACAGCTTGGCAATTCCTCAAAAAATTAAAAATAGAGCTACCATATGATCCAGCAATACTTCCTGGTATACATCCAAAAGAACAGAAAGCAAGGCCTTAAAGAGATACTTGCACACCCACGTTCACTGCAGCACTATTTTTTTTTTTTTTGAGAAGAAGTCTCGCTCTTGTCCCCCAGGTTGGAGTGCAATGGTGCAATCTTGGCTCACTGCAACCTCCGTCTCCCAGGTTCAAGCTATTCTCTTGCCTCAGCCTCCTGAGTAGCTGGGACTCCAGGCACTGGCCACCACGCCCAGCTAATTTTGTATTCTTTTTTTTTTTTTTTTGGGTAGAGATGGGGTTTCACCATGTTGGCCAGGCTGGTCTTGAACTCCTGACCTCAGGTGATCTGCCCACCTCAGCCTCCTAAAGTGCTGGGATTACAGGCATGAGCCACTGCACCCGGCCCTAACAGCATTATTCTTAATACCCAAGAGGTGGAAGCAACCCGAGTGTCCATCAATAGAAGAACAGATAAACAAGCTGTGGGGTGTGTGTGTGAATACGTACCAGAGAATATTATTCAGCCTTTAAAAGGAAAGGAAATCTTGTCATATACCGCAACATGAATGAACTTTGATGACATTATGCTGGATGAAATAAGCCAATTACAGAAAGACGAATACTGTATAATTCCATTTATAGGACATATCTAAAGTAGCCAATTCATAGACAGAAAGTTAAGAATAGTGGCTGCCAAGGCCTAGGGGGAGGATAAAGGGAGAGTTGTTCAATGGGGACAGAGTTTCATGTTTGTAAGATGAAAACTTCTAGAGATCCGTTTCACAACAACGTGAACACATTTAACACTACTGAACTGTACATGTAAGAATAGTTAAGAGGAGACATTCTATGTTATCTTTAATCACAATTTTTTAAAAAGACCTGAAGAGACATTTGAGTGTTCTCAGATGCAGCTGGAGCTGAAAGGCAACGGGAACCCAGTTGGAAAAGTGTACAGCAGCCGCCTCTGGAGGGACCCGATAAGCAAAGAAGCTTCACGACACAGGGCCTGTCGGCCTTACCCTGTATCGTCACATAATCTGGTCACGTGTGAACTCCACAAAAGATTCTCACTGTTCTGCTAGTTAGGTATTGAGGATTTGCTACATTCCTCTCAAATGGTAGCTTTAATTAACAGATGCTCACATACACTTCCCACGTGTAGGGTAAAGGTCTTTTTTTCATCCAGAAAGAACCAGGGAAGCCAGGTGCTGCGGAGTGAAGCTGATTCCCCGAGGAACACACTTCACTCTAAGAACCTGTTTTCGCCTCTAATAATGACCGTATTCTTCTATGTTCTGAACATATCTCTCTGGGGGAGGGGGTGCCAGGGAGGTCTGGCTCCTGTAGCATCCACAGAAGAGTCTGTGTTGACAGAAAGCAGCAGCAGCTCAGCATCCAGGGGCCTGCGGCCTGAAGGGGAGCAGGCAGAGGGTTCAGCCCTGCCTTGAGCTCCACAGGCCACTTCAAAAGAGCCCCTCTCTCAACAGTGCCCATGCCAGGCCACTAGGGAGTCAAGTACTAGGAGAAAACCAGCGGTGGCTGCCACCTGAACTCCGGCTACTCAAGGGGCTTGCAAGCCAAGCCTCAAATTATTTCTGGAAGTAGGTATGTTAAAATTTAAAAATCTGTTGAAGTAATAATGCCAGGTGCAGTGGCTCATGCCTATAATCCCAGTGCTTTGGGAGGCTGAGGCGAGAGGATCACTTGAGATTGGGAGTTTGAGACCAGCCTGGGAAACACAGCAAGACTCTGTCTCCACATAACTTTTTTTTTTTAATTATAAGAATAAAATAGACCAGGCATGATGGCTCACATCTGTAATCCCAGCACTTTGGATGGCTGAGGCAGGTGGCTCACCGGAGGTCAGGGGTTTGAGACCAGCCTGGCCAACATGGCAAAACCCTATCTCCACTAAAAATACTAAAACTAGCCGGGCATGATGGCGTATGCCTGTAATCCCAGCTACTTGGGAGGCTGAGGCAGGAGAATCGCTTGAACTCAGGAGGCGGAGGTTGTAGTAAGCCGAGATCCTGCCACTGCACTCCAGCCTGGGCAACAGAACGCAACTCCGTCTCAAATAAATAAATAAATAAATAATAAAATCATCCAAAGGTGAAACATGCTGTCTCAGGAAATGGTCAATGGAAATATTCTAGGTGAACTGATTACTTATCTGGCATATTACAAATGAGATCGAGACATCAAATAATGGTTAAAATAATGACTTTTTTTTTTTTGGAGATAGGGTCTTACTCTGTCACTACAGCTGGAGTGCAGCAGTATGATCATGGCTCAACGCAGCCTTGATTTCCTGGGCTCAAGTGATCCTCCTACCTCAGGCAACTAAGCAGCTACAACTACAGGTGCATGCCACCACGCTTGGCCAATTTTTTATTTTTTATAGAAACGAGGTTCTGGCTAGGCGTGGTGGCTCATATCTGTAATCCCAGCATTTTTGGGAGGCCAAGGCGGGAGGATCACTTGAGGTCAGGAGTTCGAGACCAGCCTGGCCAACGTAGTGAAACCCCATTTCTACTAAAAATACAAAAATGAGCCAGACACAGTGGCATCTGCCTGTAATCCCAGCTACTAGGGAGGGTGAGGCAGGAGTATTGCTTGAATCCCGGCGGCAGAGGATGTGATGAGCCGAGATCGTACCACTGTACTCCAGCCTGGGCTACAGAGTGAGAGATTCCGTCTCAAATAAAAAGAAAAAGAAACGACGTACTACTGTGTTGCACAGGCTGGTCTTGAACTCCTGGGCTTATGCGATCCTCCTGCCTCGGTCTCCCAAAGCGCTGGGATTACAGGAGTCAGCCACCATGCCCAGCCAAGGATTTTTAAGTTCCCTTCTAACCCTGAGAGTTGAGGTCTGTATAATCTCCCCTGCAGCCCACTGGTATTCACAGAGTTGCTCAGACTTCCTTTCATAGACCCACCTCGTCAGTCTCACTCTTGCTCCCTGTTCCCTCCAACCTCCCCAAGCTAGAATGCAAATGCTGTACTGGCAGGGGCTGGATTTCGTTTGTTAACTGTTGGATCCCCAGCGCCCAGAATTAATAACCTGAAACTCCTCAGGAGGAAGGCTACAATTGTCTCAGTTCCTAAACATTGCATGTTTCTTCTTTTCCTTCTTCCCAAGAAATGTTTGTGAAAGATCTTATATGGCTACACATTTCCTAGGGAGGGTACAGAGATTTAAAATGACATTATTAGTTCATCTATAAACACTTGTGCAATCTAAAGTAACTCTGAGCAGGTGCTCAGAAACTATTCCAGCACTATCCAATGGCAGCATTTTCCACAAGCTGGGAGCATCTTGAATTATCTACAGGGATGAAAAATAAGCAAAATGTTACCTGAATTGTCAATGATTTGGAGTCTCTGAAAGATCCACCTACTGTTTTACACAATGGTTTTCCTTTTATTTTGCATTCTTTTGAAAATGTTTTCAAGGTGTCTTCAAATTCAGCAAAATCTAAATACTATAAAAAATAAATAATTCAATTAAACAGCAAAACAAACAAATAATCTAATTTAAAAACAGCCAAAGGATCTGAATAGATATTTATCCAAAGAAGACATTAAAAGGACCAGCAGATACCTGAAAAGGTGCTTAACATCACTAACAATCAGAGAAATGCAAATCAAAACCACACAGACATAATTCCCTCACACTCGTCAGAATGGCTATTACAAAAAAGATAAAAGATAAAAAGTGTTGGCAATGATGTGGAGAAAAGGAAACACTTGCGTACTATTGGTGAGATTGTAAATTGGTACAGCTATTATAGAAAACAGTATGGAGGTTCCTCAAAAAAATAAAAATAGAACTACCGGCCGGGAGCAGTGGCCCACGCCTATAATCCCAGCACTTTGGGAGGCTGAGGTGGGCAGATCACAAGGTCAGGAGTTCGAGATCAGCCTGACCAACATGGTGAAACCCCATCTCTACTATAAATACAAAAATTAGCCGGGAGCAGTGGCGGGTGCCTGTAGTCCCAGCTACTCAGGAGGCTGAGGCAGGAGAACTACCTGAACCCGGGAGGCAGAGCTTGCAGTGAGCTGAGATCACACCACTGCACTCCAGCCTGGTGACAGAGTAAGACTCCATCTCAAAACACACAAACAAACAAAAACAGAACTACCAGATGATCCAGCAATTCCATTTCTGGGTATAGACAGAAAGGAAATAAAATCAGTATTTCAAAGAGACATCTGTATCTGCATGCTCATTGCAGCATTATTCATAATAGCCAAGATATGGAAATGATCTAGGTGTCTATCAATAGATGAATGGATAAAGAAAAAGTGGTGTCAGGTGCGGTGGCTCACGCCTGTAATCCCAGCACTTTGGGAGGCCGAGGTGGGCAGATCACAAGGTCAGAAGTTCGAGACCAGCCTGACCAATATGGTGAAACCCCGTCTCTAATAAAAACACAAAAATTAGCTGGATGTGGTGGCGGGGGCCTGTAATCCCAGCTGCTTGGGAGGCTGAGGCAGGAGAATCACTTGAACCCAGGAGGCAGAGGTTGCAGTGGGCCGAGATCACGCCACTGTACTCCAGCCTGGGCAACAGAGCGAGACTCTGTCTCAAAAAAAAAAAAAGAAAAGAAAAGAAAAAGTGCTATAGGCCAGGTGGCATGGCTCATGCCTGTAATCCCAAAACTTTGGGAGGCCGAGGTAGGATTGCTTGAGCCCAGGACTTTGAGACCAGCCTGGGCAACAAAGCGAGACCCCATCTCAGATAAATAAATTTTTAAAAGAAAATGTGTTATACAGGTAGGGTGCAGTGGCTCATGTCTGCAATCCCAGAACTTTGGGAGGCTGAGGCAGGAGGATTGCTTGAAGCCAAGAGTTCAAGACCAGCTTGGACAACAGAATGAGATCCTATCTCTACAAAAATTAAAATAAAACCTAGCTGAGCATGGTCATGCACGCCTGTAGTCTCAGCTACCTGGGAGGCTGAGGCAGGCAGACTGCTTGAGCCCAGGAGTTCAAGGCTACAGTGAACCATGATCACACCACTGCACTCCAGCATAGGTGACAGAACAAGACCTTGTCTCTAAAAAAGAATTTTAACGTAAATTTAAAAATATATATATATTCACCATCACACCACCAAATTCCAACTCTGCATTTGCATGGTGGGTGCCTCATTCTTGCTCCAGACCCATGGCTCTCGCAACCTACAGATGGTTACTCACCCAGTTAAGCAGCAGCAAGCACCAACCATTTCTTTAGCACCAGAAAGTTTAAGGCCTGGGCCCTACTTGTCAAAGCTTTTAGTGTAGGAAACCTAGGCCATTACCAGACAATGAGTTAAAAAAATTATGATGCATCTACTCAATGAAACACTCTATGGCATTCAAATGTCTAGGGCAGATCATAGGCAGATGTTCATGCTATATTATTGTTGGCAGATAAAAAGCAAGCTACAGAACAATGTATCATCCCATTCTGCAAAACAAACTACAGGCATATGAACATATTTTTACTATTCATAGAAAGAAGTCTGGGAGGGAAATTTCTTTTTTATATTTCTGTAGTGCTTGAATCTTTTACCATGGACATGTATTGTTTTTATAATTTTCTTTCAAGGGACTTTTTAAGTGACTTTAAGATCTGTTTAGTTATAAAAACAAAATGTAAATGCATGGAATGTTATATAATACAAAAATAGCTCCAACATAACAATAGAAGAAACACTACAAGGCACTAAACAGTTGGTTGCATTTTAAAACACAAGTTTTCTAGATGTTTCTCTGTGACCTCTGTTTTGTGTAATATACCTACCTCTCTCACTAGTCCAAGTAATTCAGATTCATGAGCCAGAATGTCCCCCATATTGAACTGTTACTGGTAATTAATTCTCACAGCAAAAATCTCTAGAAGGCAAAAATATAAGAGCTTTCATTTCAACCACCTGTGAAACCACAAAAAGGTGGTTGTGGTGAGCAGAATAATGGCCCCAAAGACATCCATGCCCCAATCCCCAGAACCTGTGAATACGTGAGGTTACACGGCAAGGGGGAATTAAGGCGCAGATGGAATTAAGGTTGCTCATCAGCTGACCTTTAAATTGGGGGATGATCCTGGATTACCCAGGTGGGCCCAAGGCAGTCACAGCAGAGGGAGGGGGGCAGACGGAGGCAAGAGCGTCAGTGTCAGGATGATGAGATGTGAGAAAGACAACAGCCACTGCAGGCTTTAAAGGGGTGAAAGGGGCATAAACCAAGGAGGGTAGGTAGCCTCTAGAAGCTGCATAAGGCAAGGAACAGATCCTCCCAGAGCATCCAGAAATGATCAGTCCCCGCAAACACCTTGGCTTTAGCTCAGTGAGAGCCATTTCAGACTTCTGACCTCCAGAACTAGAAGATAATAAATCTTTTTTGCTTTACACCACTCAGTTTATGGTCATTTGTTCAGCAGCACTAGGAAATACAATGGCTAAAGTCAAAAGAAACTCTTCCTACTCTTTCTACCAGCCCTCCCTCGAGGTGTACCCAAAGCAGTCATTCCCCACGGCCCACACCCCAGGCTCAGCCCAAAGCAGTTGCCTGTAACCCCAGAGGAATTAAAAAGTCTGGACTCTAATGCTCACCATGCCATTCACTGGCACCCGATCTGGGGCAAATCACTGAAATGCAGAGCCTTTTTTCATCTATAAAATTCAGAATGTTTCAGAACTCTTCCAATTTTTTTTTTTTTTGAGATAGGATCTCACTCCGTTGCCCAGGCTGGAGTGCAATGGTTCGATCATAGCTCATTGCAAGCTAAAACTCCTGGGCTAAAGTGATCCTCCCTCCTCAGCCTCCCCAGTGGCTAGGACTATAGGTGCAAGCCACCATACCCAGGTAATATATATATATTTTTTTTTTGTAGGAGAGACAGGGTCTTACTAAGCTGCCAAACTCCTGGGTAATGCAATCCTCCAGCCTTGGCCTCCTAAAGTGCTGGGATTACAGGCATGAGCCACCACACCCAGTCAGATCTCTTCTGAGTCTGTAACCTTACATTTTTCTGGCAGTGCCTCCCCATCTCCTCTCTCTCCACTCCAATCCAATTTCTACACTTTTAACAATGAGCATTCTCCTCCTGCTTGGGACCCTCCTGTGGTTCTACCACCCTCCAGATGAAGGCGAGACTCCTTGGGCCCAACTCCCAAAGCCCTAGACAACGTGGCCTCTGACACACTCCCATTTGTTCTGTAAACCTGAGCCACAATGGCCACTGTGTGCTCCCTGTGTACACCCACTGAACACCCAAAGCCCACGCCTGCCCTCGTGAACTCTGGCTCACTGCCCTTCCTTAAGATACTCACGTCTCATTCAGGTCTCTGCTTAACTGTCACCTCCTCAGTCTTGCCCTGACCACCCTTTCTAAGAGGTCGGCCCATCACTTCTCAGCCCTTTCTGCTGCTTGATTCTTCTCAACAGCACCTGACAGGTGTTCCCCTGGCATCCCCAGTGCCTAGACCAGTGCCTGGCACACAGCACGGACTCAAACACACGCACAGAGTGGAAATTAATTCCAGACATGAAGAAAACGGTGCAAGGAAAGGGACAGAACCTGAAGGAGACGGGTACGGGGTTATTTTAGATAGAGTGGTTGACGGCCTCACTGGGAATGTGACATTTTAGCAAAGATTGAGCGCTTGGATCTGGGGAAGAGGGCTTTGCTAGGTCACAGGCCTCAGGCCGCAGACCTCTGCAGTCTTGGGGTATTGGGATGTAGCTAGAGGTAAGGCAGAGAGCAGCAGGCAATGGGGGGCCGGGGCCAGGTCAGGTGGGCCTTGCAGAGCTGGTAAGTGGCTTGGACATTAGGCTGAGAGTAACAGGAGGCTCAGAGAGAATATGGAGGAGGGGACTGACACCACCTGTTTTGTTTGTTTGTTTGTTTTTTCCTGAGACAGAGTTTCCCTCTGTTGCCCAGGCTAGAGTGCAGTGACATGATCATAGCTCACTGCATCCTCAAACTCCTGGGCTCAAGCAATCTTCCCACGTCAGCCTCCCAGGTAGCTGCGCCTACAGAGTGTGCTGCTATGCCCCAGTAATTTGTTTTCTGGTTTTTTTGTTTGGTTGGTTTTTGGTGAGTTTTTGTTTTTGTTTTTGAGACAGAGACTCACTGTTGTCACCTGGGCTGGAGTGCAATGGCACAATCTCGGCTCACTGCAACCTCCGCCTCCCGGGTTCTAGCAATTCTCCTGCCTCAGCCTCCCGAGTAGCTGAGATTACAGGCGCCCACCACCATGCCTGGTTAATTTTTGTATTTTTAGTAGAGATGGGGTTTCACCATGTTGGCCAGGCTAGTCTCGAACTCCTGACCTCATGTGATCTACCTGCCTCAGCCTCCCAAAGTGCTGGGATTACAGGCGTGAGCCACCGTGCCCAGCCTTGGTTTTTTCAGAGACAGGGTTTCACCATTGCCCAGGCTGGTCTTGAACTCCTGGGCTCAATTCTCCCTCCTCTGCCTCCCAAAAGTGCTGGGATTACAGGGGTGAGCCACCACGCCCGGCTGCTGATGTCCATTTTTTAATATGCATGTTGCCTGTTCTGCAGAGAAGACTGGAGGGGAGTGGGAAGAGGGAGATGAGTACCGCTCAGCCCATGCCAGCCATGAGCGTCATTTGGATAAGCAAAAGGGGCCATGAGTGTTGTGAGTCCAGATGGAAAAGGCAGAAGAGGCACAGTCTGCAGACGGGCTGGTTGTGGGACATGAGAGGAAGAAGGGAAGGAAGAACCCTGGGATCTGAGCAGCTGGCCGAATAGTATGTCATTTCATGAGTCAACGAAAACATGGGGAAGGACTGCTTTGAGGTCAAACCAAGAGCTGTTTTGGCTGTAAGTCTGAGCTGCCGGTTAGACATTCCAGTGGAGGTTCCGAAATGGTCAGGGGGTATTATAAGAACTAAAGAAAGAGGAGAGAGGAGAGAAACACGAAGGGTCACTCGACAGTCAACAGGTTTATTTCAAACCTGGGAGGGACTTCCAACCGAGTTAGGTCAGAGCCACACTCTCTTACAGACTAAGAGTTTTTAAGGATTCAGGGTGGGAGAGTTTATCAGAGGCTTGGACTGCTTCTGTCTCTTTGGTGTGCTTATCTGGGAGGGAGAGTTGTATGTCTGTTCCCATACATCTTTCTGCAGCTGGAGGCGTACCCCGCCAAGTCTGCTTTTAGCTTCCCTTAGTAGACCTGAAGGGAACAGAATGTCCTTATTAGGGCCCACTGTTATACTGAGGCCCATTGTAAGAGGGTGAAGTTTGGCAGGTACCCAAGAAACAAACCTGTTGACTGTCGAGTCACCCTTCATGTTTCTCTCCTCTTTCTTTAATTCTTACAGATACATGAGCCTGGAGTTTAAGGGAGAAGCAGGAACGGCATTCAGAGGGATAGCAGAGAATATGGGTGCTGAGCAAAGACACAGATTTAGTGATTAGAAATGAAATAGGCTGGGTGCAGTGGCTCACACCTGTAATCCTAGCACTTTGGGATACCAAGACAGGCAGATCACCTGCGCTCATGAGCTCGAGATCAGCCTGGGCAATGTAGCGAAACCTCATCTCTACAGAAATACAAACATTAGCCAGGCGCGGTGGTGCATGCCTGTAATCCCAGCTACTGGGGTGGCTGAGGCAGGAGGATCACTTGAACCAGGGAGGTCGAGGCTGTAGTGAGCTGGGATGGTGCCACGGCACTCCAGCCTAGATGACAAAGTAAGACCCTGTCTCAAAAAAACAAAAAAAGGAAGCGAAACAAGAAATAAGGTGTGGTGGCTCACACCTGTAATCCCAGTACTTTGGGAGGCCAAGGCAGGTGGATCGCCTGAGGTTGGGAGTTTGAGACCACCCTGGGCAGCATGGTGAAACCCCATCTCTACTAAAAATACAAAAATTAGCCGGGCATGGTGGCAGGCGCTTGTAATCCCAGCTACTCTAGAAGCTGAGGCAGGAGAATCACTTGAACCCGGGAAGCGGAGGTTGCAGTGAGCCGAGATCACGCCATTGCACTGCAGCCTGGGCAACAGAGCGAGACTCCATCCCAAAAAAAAAGGAAAGAAAGAAACAAGGTCATCAGCTGCAAGTAAGAAGCAAGGTGACAGTTTGAAAAGAAGCGAGGGTGGGAGCCAAAGTAACTACGCAACATGGCAGGGTTGCTGGTAGTAGAGTCCATTTAAGATCTCTGGACTGGAATCTAAAATAGAATCAGTCTGCACAGTTTTGCAGCTCTTCTCCAGGCACTTTCAGCTATCTGAGTTTGGTTAACCAATACGAGAGGTTCTTCTAGAAGAGAGAGGAAAGGGGAAACAGTACAACCATGATGGGACACTGGAACTAATCAGGTTACGAATGGGGGAGGGGAACACACATAAGGCAGCTGCAGGGCAGAGGAAGCGGTGGGGTCTGAGACCTGCGGAAGGAGCCACATTCCAGTGAGCAGGAAAGATGGAAAGCAGTGGGCAGACAGTGGGACAGATGCCTGAAGGCAAGACTTTGAAGGTGACTAGTACTAAAAAGCTCTCAACCAAGGGAGTGGGTGGATGAGGAGGATGGAGGAAAGAGATGCCTGCAAGTAAGGAGGATGAAGAACTGGAGGGGCCAGGATGTGGAAACCCCCAAAAGTGAAGTAAAAGAGATGAAGGGACAGGCAGCCAGCCGGGTGCTAGAGGCTCCGAGGGAACTGGAGAAACTTGCCCTGGGAAGTGGCTGCCTCGGGGAGGGCTGGCAAAGGGTACAGTGTCTGCCATGTGCTTCAAAGGAGTGGGGTTTGTGAAGGAGTGGGCAGTGATCTGGAAGCAGCAATGAGGAGCAGGCAGGACACCTCCCCATGCACCACACCAGCCCTGCCAGATGCAAAAGGGGACAGAAGAAGGCAGTTGCTGTTGGAGGACACCCACCTCTCCAGCCTTTCTCTGGACTTATGCCTCAAATCCATCCACCTTCCCCCTACCTTCTCCTGCTCCTTGCTCCCTTCCACCAATCCCAGTTTGGACCCTGCCAACAGCAAACTCCTGGCCATTTCCCCACGCAACAATCTCTTCCAGGATCCTAAGCCTGTGGTTGATGTATGTTCTGAACCCCAGGTAAACATGACTCATGATTCCAAGCAAAGTCAGACTTAACCCCCTTCAAGAAGTCTTCCATGAACAACCCCTCCCTTCTTTCCCTACCAAGAATTTTTTTATATTTTTATTTTATTTTATTTTATTTTTTTGAGACAGAGTTTAGCTCTGTTGCCCAGGCTGGAGTGCAGTGGCAGGATCTCAGCTCACCGCAACCTCCGCCTCCCAGGTTCAAGTGATTCTCCCACCTCAGCCTCCCAAGTAGCTGGGGTTACAGGCATGCGCCATGACGCCCAGCTAATTTTTTGTTGTTGTTGTTGAGACGGAGTTTTACTTTTGTCGCCCAGGCTGGAGTACAAAGGCGCAATCTCGGCTCACTGCAACCTCTGCCTTCCAGGTTCAAGTGAGTCTCCTGCCTCAGTCTCCTGAGTATATGGGATTACAGGCGCCCGCCACCAACGCCCAGCTAATTTTTGTATTTTTAGTAGAGACAGGGGTTCACCACATTGGCCAGGCTGGTCTCGAACTCCTGACCTCAGGTGATCCACCTGCCTCAGCCTCCCAAAGTGCTGGGATTACAGGTGTGAGTCAGCACACCTGGCCTAATTTTTGTATTACTTTAGTAGTGATGGGGTTTCACCATGTTGGCCAGGCTGGTCTTGAACTCCTGACCTCAGGTGATTCGCCCTCCCAAAGTGTTGGGATTATGGGCATGAGCCACTGTGCCTGGCACTTCTTATAACCTGTTCACAAAGACAGGGAGCTGTATTTAAATTTCGTATCCCCAGAACCTAACAGAGTGCCTCGTAAGCAAGAAAGGTACTCAAGGCATATGATGAATAAATGAAGCCTGAGCTGAGGGGATGGCATTTTAAAGGCCCTGGAACAGGAAAAGTGAGTTTGTGAGAATTTGAGCTCCTTCCAACCTCAAGGCCTTTGCACATATTACTCTCTCCGCCTAGAACACTTTTCCCTCTCTTCACCTGGTTAACCACTGTGCCTAATAAACATCACCTCCTTAGAGTAGTCCTCCGTAAGCCATTTAAATAGCATCTGCTGTGATCAACTGTCATTGAACGTGAGTGCTGCTGGGTATCCTACTACTCTGACATTCTTAGAAATTACAGAATTGGCTGGGCGTAGTGGCTCACACCTGTAATCCCAACACTTTGGGAGGCCGAGGCAGGCGGATCACCTGAGGTCAGGAGTTCAAGACCAGCCTGATCAGCATGGTAAAACCCCATCTCTACTAAAAACACAAAAATTAGCCAGGCGTGGTGGCGTGTGCACCTGTAATCCCAGCTACTAGGGAGGCAGAGGCAAGAGAATCGCTTGAACCCAGGAGGTGGAGGTTGCAGTGAGCCGAGATTGCGCCACTCCACTCCAACCTGAGCGACAGAGAAAGACTTCATCTCAAAAAAAAAGAAAAAGAAATTACAGAATTTTCTCTAAACTTTCATATCATAATAGGTATCATTTATTGAGGGTATATTGTATGCCAGGCAATGTGCAAAATGCTTTACATTTAATCTTCATAGTAAACCTGAGAGGTGAATGTAGTTTGTATTTTCCCATTCCAGATGAGCCAATTTGAGGCTCAGGAAGTCTGACACACTCCCAACAGCCACAGTAAGTGACTAAGTGGCTGATAGGAACCACTACACAGTATTTCCCCAAAGTCTGGACCACCTAAATAAGAATCAGTTGGCACCCTTGTGCAAATGAAAATCCCTGCCTCCACCCTGGTCTTACTGAACACCATGGCAGGCACCATGCCCAGAAATCTGCCTTTTAAACAAGCTCCCTGGGTGACTTTTATACACTCTCAAGTTTGAGAACCACTGCTCTCCTCCATGCAGAAACTAAGAAAAACTTTTCCAGTCACACTTGGGGACTGCAGTGGCAGCTTTTGAATTCCTACATAATAAAGATTTAGGGCCTACAAACGGGTGGGATTACGGGATTTGTATGGAAGCCGAATCTGCACAGCACGCATCCTGTTTTTCCTTAGATTAGGTGAAATCTGGACTTCACCTGGGTGCCTGAGAAACGGGGCTAGCAGATGGAGATTATGAGGGAGATCTAAACCCCGGGTAACCCGCTGGCACCGCCACCACCAGCTGGACGGGTTGGGGGTCCCCCTCCAAGTTTGGCCCGCTGCAGCAAAGATCAGGGACTACTGCTGCAGCAAAGATCAGAGAGTACTTGCGGGAAGCAGCTGCGCCCGTCCTTGCTTGGGATGTCCAGGAGGCCGCCTCGGCCCTCACCGGAGAAAGATCCCTGGACCGCAGGCGAGAAGTGGTAGCATCTGGCGGCGGCGGAGCGGGCGCGTCGCGGTTTTTCTCGGAACAAGAGGTCCGCAGAGCCTCGGCCCTCCAACCCCACCGCTGCTCCTCCCAGCACCAGGACGGCGGGCTGAGGGTGACCCGGCTGCATCCGGGGACGCGCTTACCTGCTGCTCCGCCGCGGACACTCGCGCTCACCCAGCCCGGCCGCCACCTCGGCAGCCGTCACCCGGGCAACCGCTGCCGCCACCCCGGCATCACGTGGGGCGGCGCAGCCAATCGCGCGGAGCGCTGCCGGCGCAGAGCAGCCTGGGAGGGAAGGTGGGCGAGCCCGAAACGTCCTGGCGGCGGAAGTGAGGGTCCACGGCGCAGCAGTGTCCGCCGTTCACGCGCGGGGTGTACGCGTCTCGTGCGGTCCCCTCCACCACTCCACTTTTGTTCGTTCGTTCATTCATTCGTTCATTTCCCCTTCGTTACGCCAGTCACTGTGCCGGCTCTGGGGATGAGCCGGAGCAGGCTCAACCCCTTGCCTCAAGGAGCTCGTGGTCGCGTAGAGAACACAAACCAGGACCGTGTGGTGTCCGTGGGAAGAGTCAGGCGTGGTTATTCCCATCTTACCGGAGGGACCTGGGGCCACCTTAGAACCAAAAGTGACGCCCAAGATATGCATTGAAGCTCCGGGCACCAGGGTCCCGCCCCTTGCAGCAGTTTCCAGGGATTTCAGAGAAACTTTTTGTTTTCCATGTGACATGTGGGCTTCTAAAAATAAATCAGGAGCACCCGTCTTCCCTCTCTTTACACCTGATGCTTTTGAACTGAAGTTAATCAGTACTGAATGAGCACTTGCTAGTCGCCCAACTTAGTGCTGGAGGGTGAGGAGGAGGAGGTGGCCATGGATGGAAAAGCCCTCCCCTCCAGGCGTTGAGGTTCTGTGGGAATCTCCCGTTGCCACCTCAGTGTTTCCACCTCCATGCTTCCAAGAAGGAGGAGGCTACCAGGGCCAGAGACAGGGAATGGGGCACGGAGAAGGTAGGTCAGTTCGTCTTTGAGGAAGCCCTAAGATGGGCTGTGGCCACCACCTCCCCAGTCCCCAGCCTTGCCAGTGGATTGTCTTCCAAAAGAGAAAAAAAAGCTGTATTTAGTAGAAGAGAGCCCTACTTTCTGTCCAGGTAATATGGATTGAAAATAAATCTTCAATCCATGGCCATAATATTTATCGTCAACACAACTGTATGCCAGGAGTTGCCAGACAAAATACAGGACACACAGTTAAATGTAAATTTCAGATGTTTTAGTGTAAGTAGATCCCAAATACTGCTTCATTTTATTGTGCATGTAGGACGTTATATTGTTCTGTATTTTTGTTTGCAAAACGTGCAGCCTGTATGTGTGCCCAGCATTGTGCTAAGTGAATCATATGGATTGTTTTATTTAATTCTCACACCAGGCCGGGGGCTGTGGCTCACACTTGTAATCCCAGCACTTGGGAGGCCAAGGCAGGTGGATCACCTGAGGTCAGGAGTTTGAGACCAGTCTAGCAAACACGGTGAACCCCCCCATCTCTACTAAAAATACAAAAATTAGCTGGGCATGGTGGCAGTGACTATAGTCCCAGCCACTCGGGAAGCTGAGGCAGGAGAATCAGTTGAACCTGGAAGGTGGAGGTTGCAGTGAGCTGAGATCAAGCCACTGCACTCCAGCCTGGGCAACAGAGTGAGACTCTGTCTCAAAAAAAAAAAAAAAAAAAAAAAAAAAAAAAAAGTTTTTAATTCTCACACCACATCTATGAGATGAATAATATTTTCAGCATTTTACTGATTGACAATGTTGTTATTAACATGAGCCCTGTGCTCTTAGAAAATAGCCATATTAAGAAATCTCACCCACCCACCCTCAAACCTTTTGTTTTCTAAAATCCTCCACACTTTTGTGTTCTGGGAAGTAGCTTACCAGAAAGAACTACCCTTCCACATATGACTTCATCCGACTCACTGTCCTCTCTTTCTCATGCCTCCCGTATGATGCACGGATGACCCCCTTGTTTACCTGTGACAAGGACAAATGCAGACCTTTCCCTTTCTGCCCGAGCCTGCTGGCAAGGCCAAGTACAGACCTTTCAGCTTCTCACTCTTTGTCTCATGGTTGATTAGCTGAGATTACAGCTGTCTGTTTTGTCTTTGGCAAGATAAACAACATGAGGCATAGGGGATTAAGAAATTCCTCAAGTTTACACCGCTGAGGAGACCAGGACTAAACCCAGGCCTCTGTGTCTCTGGACCCTGGGCTCTGAGCCGCTGTGAACACCCCTCCTGCTTTGCTTTCCCTCCTGAGTGCATTTGCCTGACTGCTAGGATTATGGTCATTGTGGTGGCTATTGTCTTTGTCTGTCTACCTCCCCTCTCCCTTCTGGTAACATACTCCACTCACGCCATCCCTGACCACAGGATGGGCAGATGGTCCAGACTGGACCAATCTTACCCCATCCCTCTGGCCTCAGTGATGGGTCCAGGATGGGCATACGAGCCAAGCAAAGCCAATGACAGCCCTTCCCTGGGATTTTGCTGTTGAAGTGTGGTCAGGTTATTGTAAAATGAGACTCCAGGGCAGCCTACAGCCTTCACTACATGGGAAAGACTAAGAAGGTGAAGCCATTACCTAGAGAAATGCAAAGAAAGTGCTGGGGGCATCAAATCCCTGGTCCCAGGATCTGAGTTCTCTGGAGCTGCACTTGTTCTTATAGCTCCTCCAGCATCCTTCCAATCAACTGTCTTTTTTATTTTTTCTTTTTTTAAGACAGGGTCTTACTCTGTCACCCAGGCTGGAGTGCAGTGGTGCAATCTCAGCTTGCTGCAACCTCTGCTTCCTGGGCTGAAACAATCCTCCCACCTCAGCCTTCCTCATAGCTGGGATTACAGGCATGTGCCACCATGCCCAGCTAATTTTTGTACTTTTTGTAGAGACAGAGTTTTACCATGTTGCCCAGGCTGATCTCAAACTCCTGAGCTCAAGCCATCTGCCTGCCTCAGCCTCTCAAAGTGCTGGGATTACACATATTACTGCATCCAACTTCAACTGTCTTTTTAATTTCGACTGGTTTGGACCTGCATGGTGGCTCATGTCTATAATCCCAGCACTTTGGGAGGCCAAGGTGGGAGAATTGCTTGAGGTTGGGAGTTTCAGACCAGCCTAGACAACACAGCAACATCCATCTGTATAAAAAAAAAAAAAAATCCGTCTGTATAAAAAAAAAATTTAATTAATAAACTTGTTCAAGTTGGGTTTCTGTCACTTGCAACCAAAAGAGGCCAGACGAATATAAACTAATATAAACATAATTTCTATGTCTGAGATAGGAAAAACCAAACTGACTGTTTTTACTCTTCTCACACTCAACACTTTTTTTTTTTTTTTTTGAGACAGAGTCTAGTTCTGTTGCCTGGGCTAGAGTGAAGTGGCACAGTCATAGCTTGCTGCAGCCTCGACCTTCCGGGCTTAAGTGATCCTCCTGCCTCAGCCTCCCAACTAGCTGCTGGGACTACAAGCACGCACTACTATGCTCAGCTTTTTTATTTTTTTAATTTTTTTTTTTTTAGAGATGGGGTCCCACTTTGTTGCCCAGGCTTGTCTCGAACACCTAGGCTCAAGCGATCCTCCTGCTTTGGCCTCCCAAAGTGCTGGGATTACAGGTGTGACACAACGCTTCTGACAGCAGACATACGGAGGTTTTTCCCTACACGCTAAGCAACTATCCAGCAGACACTAACTGATTGTCCTACAATTCAATTCTGATACTAGCTAATGACTGGAGTTAGAATCAGATCCCATAGGTCAAAGGCTCAGTCCCACAAGACTGTCCCCTACCTCAGATGCCAGTCAAAAGTAGCAGTTGTCATCTATACTTCTAGCCAAATGGCTATAAATGAGGGTTCCATTAATTTACTAGGATGGCTTATAGAAGGAAACACATGTACTGGCTCATTATAAAGAATGTGACAAAGGATACAGATAAACAGCCAGATGAGGCAGTACCCAGGGCAAAGGATGGGGGCGCAGAACTTCCATGCCCTCTCCAGTTGCCTCCATGGTTCAGCAGTCTAGAAGCTCTTCAAACGCTGTAGTTCAGGGATTTTTACAGAGGTTTCATAACACAGGCACAATCGATTGTTGTTGTTGTTGTTGTTATTATTATTATTATTATTATTGAAATGGAGTTTCGATCTTGTTGCCCAGGCTGGAGCGCAATGGTGCGATCTCGGCTCACTGCAACCTCCGCCTCCAGGATTCAAACGGTTCTCCTGCCTCAGCCTCCCAAGTGGCTGGGATTACAGACATGCACCACCATGCCCAGCTGATTTTGTATTTTTAGTAGAGACAGGGTTTCTCTATGTTGGTCAGGCTGGTCTCGAACTTCCGATCTCAGGTGATCCGCCTGCCTCGGCCTCCCAAAGTGCTGGGATTACAGTCGTGAGGCACCGCGCATGGCAGGCACAATCGATTATTAACTCAATCTCTGGCCTTTCTTCCTATCCCAGAAGATGGGGATGGGGCTGAAAGTTCCAAGCTTCTAACCATGGCTTGGTTTTTCTGGTGACCAGCCCACCAAGAGTCATCTCATTAGAATACTAGATGTTCCCATCACCCATGACATTCCAAGGATTAGGATCCCTCATCAGGAGCAAGGGACAAAGACCAAATAGAACAAAAAGATCCACCTAGTGCCCCCTATCACTCAGGAAATGACAAGAATTTTAGGAGCTCTGTGCCGGGAACCAGGGGCAGAGACCAATTATATATTTTTCTTTTCCTTTATTTTTTTTTTAGATGGAGTTTTGCTCTTGTCATCCAGGCTGGAGTGCAGTGGTGCAATCTCAGCTCACTGCAACCTCTGCCTCTTGGGTTCAAATGATTCTCCTGCCTTAGCCTCCCAAGTAGCTGGGATTACAGGCTCTCGCCACCACGCCCACCTAGTTTTTGTATTTTTAGTAGAGACAGGGTTTCACTATGTTGGCCAGGCTGGTCTCGAACTCCTGACTTCAGGTGATCCGCCCGCCTCAGCCTCTCAAAGTGCTAGGATTACAGGCATGAGCCACTGTGCCTGGCCTAATTATATATTTTTCTTATTTCACAATGTCATATCAACTAAAAGTGGCCTCAGCAATGGGGGAGGTGGTTCATTTTCTTATAGTAAATACAGAAGTAGCTAGCTTCTTACCAGTAGCTCAAGTTGTCAGGGATCTGGGTTGGTTTCTGAATTGTATCATCCCTGTGACTAGGAGTGATATGGAACAAATAGGTATGGTTTGATACAGTTTAAAAATT